TACTTTAATGACGCGGTGATGGCTTTCAATAGGCTGCTGGGAGGGAAGAAATCCTGGTACTGATGAACTGTTGACACTCCAGCGCTCCCAGCGCTTGTCAAATACACATTTTGAAGCCACTCAGCTAGTTTATCCTCTCTAGATTCTTTCCAGGCCTTTACCACTCGTTTAGAAAGAGCTCTAAACTGTTTTAGAGACCGAGACTGGTGTAGTAGTCGTAGGTGCTGTTCTCCTATGTCTTTCATGAATCCCTTGGTTTTCTCAAGCTTAGTCTGCGTGACTGACGGAGAAAATGCTCCCAACAGGATAGAATTTCTATATGGGGCCACACTAATTCCAAAGCAGAAGCTATAGCGTCTGCATGGTCAATACTGGCACTATGCACCTTCAGTTCAAGGTTCAAAAATGTTTTTGCGTATTTGACCAAAGTTCTAAACATGTGCTCATAAGCAATGATGCTCTCTGTTTTGATGAACATGTAGATCCAAGGACGAAATCGCTGTACGCATCCCGTACCCGATCGCTCCACAGAGATTCCTCCACAGTCTACAAGGGTCCAACCACCAAAATGGATTCTGTAGGTGCCGTAGATAGCACCAAGCTGTCGCCTTGGTCATGTACTGCACGCTCTACATTGCGAAATAAAGCTCTAGATGTCACCACTACACCAAGTGAGACTACGGACACGCCTTCTACAGTGACTAAATGCTCGAACTCGTCTAAGACGATAAGCTCGTTCATGTCTGCCCCATTCGTTTCATCGACTCGATAAAATTCAACTCGACTTTGACATAACTTTCCCGCTGTCCAGTTTGTTAATGCCACGAATTTACTGATCTCCCATCCATCCCCGCCAGTCGCTTCAAATAGGCTTTCCTGCTTTCCATTTTCTTCGTTTCTGGCACCAGTGCGAGCATGGCAGGATCTCTCAGATACTTAAAAAGCAGCATGTTTCTCACCCGACCTGCGGTCATACCGAGCTTTAGCAGTGCATCTACTTCGGGTTTTAAAATCAGTGAAATGCCCTTAGTTGTGAGATTAACTACAGTTCCAGCATGTTCTCCTTTCTGTAGAACCTGGTATTTTTCCCCAGCTTCTCCAGCTTGATGGGTGATTATCTTGATTCGATGATGACAATCTTTGTGTGAGCGGCACTCAAACTCCTTTCCAACCCGATACGTTGACACATATCGCGTCTTATAGCTGTAAACGAATTGATTCAGCTGGTGCAAGCTCCGCTCTCCCATCTCCTCTGTATCGTAATAACCGACACTGATGTATTGGACTTTATTGTGAATAGCAACAGTGGATATGCTAAACGGACCAGTTCCATCAGCCGCAATTTCATACTCTAGAGACGAATCAGAATCTTGATCACCGTCTACCGTGGCAATCACTCCAGAACTACCACTTTTCGAATAAAATGCAGAGCGAGCAGTGTCATTGTCTGTAGTAGAAGTGTTGTCGTCGGCGGAAGGTGCGACGTCCATGTCTTCTACTGAGTCTGTTGTGTAGTCATCGTCCAAATCTTCTACCGAAACTGTCGCGCTCAGCATGTTCTCATTCTCTGACTCGCTGGCATCGTGTGCGTCTCCAGCACATCCGTTTCTTCACCGTATCGCTTGGGGAGAACACCAGCAGCTCCATGAGATCAGCTTCACACTGCACTGCCTGCTTCTTATGTCCGGTGGAAGTGTGAGCTGTTTGAAACTTCTTCTTTAAACTCTAGTAGTCTGTAAATAGCAACAGGTATTTGAAGGGTAAAAATATAATAGTACTTCAGTATTGAATTTATGTTCACCTTATAACTAACAGTTTTTCAAGCCCACTGACAGGTGTTTGGCATGAGCAACAGGTATTCCTATAAAATAAGATGTAACAGATGTGTCAGTGGATGAGCAACAGATCTTAATATTTTCCGATATTAATTACTGCAATAGTTGACTTTATTGGTCACGTTCCGGATGTAGTGTTGTTATAGTTGAGTTAAAAAAATTCGGCATTGACCGAGGCAAGGCCGAGCTGTTAATACTTGACAGTATTTTTTCCGCTCAAGCGCTCCACGCGAGTCAGCGTTTTGAGTGCTTACACCGTAGGTAAAAAAAAAACAAATGTTGTTCTTGTTGTACATAAATCCAAAGGCTCCGTTATAACGCAATGGACCTCCAAAAAGTAAGCGCCATTTTGACTGCTACAAATAAACCAGCGATCGTGCTGTTGTATTTGCTTCGGGTCTCTCTGCTGGTGACGCGGCTTTGCTGCCGCTTATAGTGTTGTCGCTGGATTTGTTGGGAAGGTGTGAGGGTAGCGAACTCGCTGGTTGTGTCAGCTCTGGTACTTAATCAAACAAAAATACCAATAAAAAGGGCTCCATTCATTATGATAATTTCTTCAATAACTCCAAAAACAAGCAATAGTCACGAGCTTTAAATGACATCTTCTGCTATCCCTTGTTATTCCACTAGGGTTTGGAATCCGTCATCTACACCTTTACCTCTTTAATTTCATTATAGTGAAAAGCAAAACTCACGTGAAGTAGCTGAAGTAACAGCTAAAATTGGAAAAAAAATATTGCTTTCGAGGAATGTCGATTGACTTCAAAGCAAAGGCGATGGCTAGCAGCAAAGTTCCCTCGCCTACAGCATGCCCAAAGACCCCAAGCACGGGCTTCGAGCTCGCACACGGGTGCTAAACGCACACCAACAAGAACGGGACTGGGTTGTCGATGCAGATTGCAACGGAATTCCCACCACCATCGCTTGCGACATCGTTCGCGCGGGGCAGTCGGAATAAAAAAAGAGGATTCGGGCAGCGTGCACAAAATCTTCACCAGATATGGGTGATGCAGTGGTTGAATATCTCGAAGAGAACTGTCAATACAACCTGCCGCAATACGCGACATGCTCCTCTTCGACTTTGCAGTGCTTATTGACATTTCACGGATCCGCAAGAAGCGGCGTGATAACCTTTACATGGTTAAGTGGGTAGATTTACGTGTACTCAATTCACTGCTGCACGCGCATGCAGGGGCGTGCTCTGATAAACCAATGCGGTGGTGAAGCTACCGCCATCCAAGGAAGCCAACTTGCCGATTCAATGCGCAGTGCTCGCTTGTTTACAATGAAACACGTCGTGGAAGAATTCAATTGGAGGTAAGCGCAGCTTTCGTTGATACTAGCTACGGTGCAGTGAACGTTCACGACGTTCACCAAGCTGAGATTGCTGGCAAGACAATTGTTATTGTTCTCGATATCCACTCACACACCGAGATACTGGTTCAATTTCATGCCAACCTGGATCTTGTGCACCCGGTGCCATACCCCCTACTGTACAATCCTATTTAGTGTAAGTTATTTGCATTGATGAGATTCTCAAGTTCTAATTACGGGTTATTTACTTCCTTACTGTAGCCTTTTCTTAGTTTTTGCCGTACCTTGTGATGCACAATGACGAAATGATAAACGTGCTCTACACGACAAGGAGCATGCAACGCCGGGCATGACTCTGCGATTCGTCGAAAAGATGGCTTGACGATGTGCTCTTTCCGTCGCGGCAGCTATTCGTGGGGAGCCCATGAACTTCAATTCCTAGTAGTGCTGCTTTAGGCTAAATCCAGATTGGGATCATTGGTATTAGGATATTCTTTTGAAAATCCTAATTACGGGACGGTCGGAATCGCTTATCCCCAACACGTTGAAAATTAAGAACAAAAATAGGACCAAAAGTTAGAGCCTTGGTTTGGCATCATTTTCGAGAGTTATGTGGTATTATTGCCATGGTCATATACTACTTAAAGGGTTCTGTACGTAGTATAGTTTTCGTAGTGTCAACTATTGTCCAACAGGGCGAGAATGCATTACGAAGTTTATCACTAGTAACAAAGCATACATGAGTTTTGTCCTGGATTCCAGGACAAAAATCTCGATTAAACTTGGGTTCATTGTGGCACTTCACCTTGGAAGCCTCCATAGTACCTCTGCTTGACAGAAATAGCTGATATATATGACATATCGCACTTAAGCTGAATCGAAGAGCCTCCATAACATAAAATCTCCGATCTCCGACTTCTCCGACCTCCGACTTCTCCGACCTCCGACTTTCTCCGACCGTCACAAAGCAGGTCCATATTTGTGTGTTAGTTATGTACTTGTGTATTAGTTGTGTAAGGTGCTTAGGGGATCAAATTTGGGATATGCGAGGGCCAGAAGACCGTAACGAGTTTGTAGCCGGATTCTTAGGCTCTGAAACGGCGTGTGGGCTAAGAAAACGGCAATTAACTAATTATGCATTATTTAAACCTTGAGGCGTGTTCTCTCTACATAGCAAACAACGAAATGAGGCCCCGGACCAGAAATCGGGGTCCACTAATAGAGGCACTTTACTTTTTACAACTGTTTTTACGCGTAATTACCATTAGCAGTGATTGGCTCCCCAAACAGACGTGGGTAAAACCTTACAAACAAGGTTATATTCAAACGGTTGGCTTGTAGAGCCGCACAAATAAACTAATCGCCATTCTTGATTTTTTTTCTCGTAAGGGTCAAGTCGTCCACCATGCGTCTACTCCATCAATTGCTCGTCGCCCTGGGTATCTTCATGTTTGTATACTGTGTGTATGTGTGATGTGCGGCCACTTCTGCTGTCTATGCGTTGTGTGCTTGCTTGCGTTGAGGTTAACATTGCTGTTCCGGAAGGAGGTTACGCTTTGTGTTCGACGTAGCACTCACATACGTGTTCGGTTTGCAACGAGGTTAACTTTGCTGTTCCATTGGAGGTTAATCTTAGTGTTCAATACTACCAATTCATTTCTCACTCGAACGATTATTAAGCACGTAATACACCCTGTATTTGCTCCTTATTCTTCACCTCATCTTTACTTCCGTGTCGTTTAGCGTGTTGTCTTCCACAGCTTCGTCTTCGATGAAGGCCTTGAACGTAAAGTGAGCGAGCAAGCACTGGTTGGAGCGATACGCAGATAAAATGGTACGTAATTACGCGGTTTACACTAATCCCAGTATGTTGGTGGTATGAGCTGGGGCAGGATCTGCAATACGACCAGGGTGCTTGTAGCGGGTGATGCGGTCATTGAGACGACCACTCTTGTGCAGCTTGCGCATGGCCTCCAGGACGTTGTGGGCACCGCGCACAGTGATGTCCAAACTACGGAGGAATCCAAGCAGGTCGACTTCTGCAGCTATTCCAATCTTCCAATCTTGAGGACATCGTCCCGGTATCTTGGGGACTTCTCGTTGAGGATGAAGCCGTCCGGAAGAAACAACTTCAAGAATGCGACGACCTGCTTGGCGGTTGACCGCGTATGCTTCGTTGCAGCGTCCCTCGAACTCCACATACGTGGTTCTTGGACGTACCAAGTGAACCAGACATCTTTGAGGTTCGTCGCTCCGGAGGTACGCCGTCGCTTGTTGGGTGGGTGGCTGGTAATTGTGTCCTGACACACATTATTTGCAGTTGTTGTGTCTTGCTGCTTGTTGTAGAACGTAGCCTCCATGACAGAGAGCTGCATGTCGAGCTTCTGGTTAACCTGAATTAATTGCTCAATCAAGGATGCTTGGTGGAGATACATGGGGTGTTGAGTGTAATCGTTTGGGGTGCTTTGTGGAGCGGCACTGCCTTGAATGGCGTTTGTGCTTGTGTCACCAGCAAGGTATGATGACCCTGATAACAAGTCGTTCTCGGAGAAGCCTTTGTCGCGTGTACACGCCTCAATGCGTTGGATTGCTGGACCATCCGCTGCAAGCTTCTTCAGCTGAGGGTAGTGCTTCAGCAGGCAAGCCATGAGAGTGTCGAGTACTCGTTCGTTCACGGTGTACTGTGGCGTCTCCAGACCGGATGAAGAGATGAAGAGTGCGAACGCGACGGACCGAATCTTCGTCTGCGTACTGGAGGCAAAGCCATCCAAGGAAAAAAGCGAAACCTTTTTTTTTCAGGATCTCGGCTGCTCAAGACGCGTGCGACTTTATGATCTTCCGAGGGGGTGTTGAACACATACGCGAAGGCTTTGTTCGTTGCTGTCATGTTCCATGCCCCACGGTCGAAGATCCACTGAACACACATCCCAGTCCCGTTGGCATGCTGTGCGCCACCGCGCCTAAAAGAATGCGACGTCAAACGCTCAGCCACACCAGACTTTTTTAGCGACTTGATCCAGGACGCGGTTGACGTAGGCGTGTAGTCCGATGGAGTAACAGCAGTCGAATACAGGTAGACGATCATTTGCTGGAGCGCCTTCTTCGTGCACGCGGGAGCATTATTAACAAATGCTCCAGACTCTCTCTTCATGCAATAGCGCTCAAGAACTCTCCTTTCGTGAGCAGGGTCTTTTCGATAGAGGCCCGATGCTGAGGAAACTTCTCGAGCACCAATTCTTCGCCTGCCGGTAGTACTGCATGACTGAGTGTCGTACCAATGACTGCCCTTTACACCCTCCCTTCAAAACGAGATGCATTCCAAATTTGTCGACAACAGCCGCTAAGATAAGCGCCGCGTTGTCGCGCCTCATGCATGCTTCTAGGTACTCCCAGGTGACGCCTTCATCTTCGACAAACTTCCGGAACGACCGCACTGCTGACTCCCGAGCTCGCTTGGTGTTAACCGGTGCGAGGTCTTTCAAACGCATCTTGGGTCGGAGGTGTCGGAGCTTGAGTGTTATTCGTGAAATATGCGAATGTCTTATGATCTGTAAGGGGATATCCATAATTTCGCTGGTCTCTCCGACTTAATACGTCGGAGCTGTGGTTGTGTAGCCATCTTGTACCATTGATGCCACCGATTGGCTGAAAAGAATGTCTTTAAGTAATGTGATTCGCCAAAATGACAACTCATCTCAGAACTTTCATTCTATTGGCCAAAATAGTAACCATAGTTAAAATAAGTATGGTCGGAGATTTGACTATATTCATCCACACAAACTTCAAGTTAGTTTTTGTCCTGTAAGCTGCAAAATCGGCCAAACTCCATCGTACTTAAGCGACGTTTGGTCCATTTTTTTCAAAACAAAAAATATTGGGGTTATCATTATATCGATACTGGAGTGGCAACGATGTAGTAATTAGATTATCTTGTTCCAAAACAGGTGCTGCTCCAACAGTACACTTCTCTAGTAACTGCGTCGCCTGGAATATGCCGTCGACGTTGGGGGAATGATGCCCCACATTCCTGGGAGGTATACTCAACTGCTCGGCTTTTTTTAGGTAAAACTTTTATTATTTTATTATTTGAAATTGGTCCGTTTCTACAACTACTTCTAAACAGGTAGAGACAGTACCTATCAGAACAAAATTAACGTTAATTTCCTTGTTTGCTTTGTCCTGCAAAGATGTGTGCATTCTGACCGTTACTTACTAGTGAATACTGCTCACCTTTACAAAAAGGCTATTTAGTAAAACTCACCGAATATATCCACACTTCATTCATACCGGGACACAACGCTATGTTCTGAGTTTGCGCCGTCCAATCGCGGACAGCAAACGGCGACAAGAACAAAGGTACAGTATTCTCCGATCTCCTCCGCTATGACACGGCCCAAGAACTCGCGGTCGTCCCCAACATCTTGCAGCTCTGCCAGAGACAGCAGCTCGGCATTTACATCGTCCAAGAGAGGCGTGATGCCCGAACCAACGGCTATGGTGCGCCTATCCCCCACGACGGAAGTGGCGATCCGCCTGCTACCTGGCAACGACGTACGTTCTCACGCTGTGGCAATGGTATCGTAGAGTATCCGTCTAACCGTTCGTAAAATTATTCTTTTGACAGTGCTGTGTGGACTGCAAGGCCGTCTGTCCGCAGTGGGCTGGTGTCTCGTTCGGTGTGCTGCTTTGTCTAACCTGCGCTGGTAAGCACCGCTCGCTGGGAGTGCAGACGAGTTTCGTGAAGTCTTTAGTTATGGATGCCTGGTCGGAGAGTGAGTTGCGCGCACTGGAACTGGGTGGTAACGCCAAATGGGTCGCTGTATGTGCTGGAACTGGAGTTTCCGATCTTCCCATGGAGAAAAAATACTCGTCCGGCGTTGCAAAAGCCTACAAGAGCCGAGTGGCGCTAGCTGCTGCGAAAGATCCATCGGTGGAGTGCGCGTTCACTGCAGTATCGTTTCTATCTATGCTAGCTGACATTGCGAGAGAAGAGAGCCCTGTTTCAAGTGTGAAGGAAGACCCTGTGTCATCGCCGACGATGGCAATGAAAATACAACCAGTGAGTGACCCTGCGGATGGCACAACTGTCAAGTGCACGACGTGCTGCTCAATGGTGTCATTGGCTGAATTGAATTCACATTCTGAGTCCTGCACCGTCAGCGCATCGGTAAGTCATTATCGTGTGTCAATTACCCATGGAAGAACTTAAGTATTTACTCTGTATCTTCGCCCTGTTATCGCTAGAGTGCCGTAGAGTGGAGAAAATATGAGCGAAAGATTGGGGCTCCCAGTGAACCGTTGGGCTTCACGTTGGCCAAGGCTAGCAGTGGTTATGCTGAGGTGTCTCGAATCATCCCGGGTGGTGCTACCGAACAAGCCAACGTGATCGTTGGTAGCTTATTGATCGGCCTGAACAACACGAAGAACTTGAAATTTGACGAGGTTGTGGACATGCTTCGAACGTTACCGCGACCGATGCTGTTCCACTTCGTCTTCCGCTCGCAAGTGGCGTCGGAGGGTCCCAAGACTGTAATTTCATCCGTTCCAGAACCTAGAACTGTGGAGATTAATGTGACGCTGCATGATAAGGAAGAGCTCGGCTGCTCGTTGTCTGCGAACGAGTTTAACTGCGTTGTGCGAAGCGTCGATGAGGACTGTATCGCAAGGAGGCACGGCGTTTTGGTGGGATCACGCGTGGTTGCTGTGAATGGACAAACGTACTTGAAGCCGAAGGATCTAATTCGTGAAATCTGCACTGCCCAACGTCCAATCAAGATAACAGTACATCGTGTGGAAGGGCTTATGAGAGGATGGAGCAGCTAAAAAGACGGTCTATCAAGAGATACTTAAGTATTCATTGATGATTCTCTAAGGCTGGTAGACGACAAAATGTTTCTGATAGGAACTCTTGGATTTCTGACGACTTCGAAAGTGTTTTGAGGTTGTTTAGATCTTGTTAGATAAAATAGAGATGTAAATGAATCGGACGCATATTTACGCTTTGTGACATTCCAACGGTGCTTCAAGAGAACCGAGTTCTACACGTCCAAAACCGTTCGACCACCTTGGGTTTGGCTTTTGTAGTAGCTAATCACAAAATCTGCAGGTATTTGTTTCTGTTTTGAAGGCGAGCGAAGGCTGGAAAACATCGGGTGGTACATCACTTGCTTGAGTGTGGGGCGCTTGGAAGGGTTGAAGTCCACTAACTGTTTCAGCAGGCCCATCGCCCCCGGAATTGTCATCAATCCTTCACGGCAACGATAAATAATATCGTCGGAGCCACTTGCAATCGAATACAATGCCTGATCATGATCGAACTGTTCCTTTGCGGTCTTTGAATGCAATTGAGCTTTCGTCGCACTGGCTGTTAGCTTGCACTTCCGTTGGGGACGCTTGGTTGCCGAGTCCTCTGGTCGTAAATGCTTTATCATTAGCTTCCACACCTTGTCGATTCCTTTGCTTTCGCTCGGATTTTCCGCCGGTAATCCGAAGAGTACGATAAAGCGATACAAAGCGTGATAGAGCGTGTTCTCATCGTCACCGTGCGCCACCTTCTTAATCACTGAGAATTTCGAGTTCTTTCGTGGATTCTACAGCGAGAAATACATGGCATTGAATCAGATAAAGCAATCACGGTATTACAATTCGGCTCAATACTTACCATCCACAGGGTCTTCAAGTCTTTCAGTAGTTCTGCGGGGCACTTCGCGGCTTCCAGAATTTCTTCGTATGGAGCGCTGCGTGTAAGACCAAAGTTGTCAGAATTGAGCCTTAATCAAGATGAGTCTCTAACAATCTCACTTACCTTCCAGTAAACAAATGCAGCAAGCAGAGACCCAACGAAAACGTGTCTGCAGCGTAGGACTGCTCGGCTGCATCTCCTTCCAACAGGAATTCAATGGGTGCGTTCTCCAGAGTAGCGAAATGGTCGATCGTGACGGGTTTCCCTAGATTCTCCGGGCTGGAGTCAGCCGCGCCATAATCCGCTAGCTTCACCCAGTACGAGAAGGATGCAGGCATTTGGAGAACAAAGCACGCGTTTTCCAGCATGTAGTGCAGTACAGCATCACGTCCTGGGGCCTTGGTGAGGTTGGAACGACCAATATCCTTCAGGAAGAAGTTAAGAAGCTGGACGCGCAAAACATAACACGAAGTTGTTAGGGCCAGCCAAACAGCAGCAAAGCAGTCCTAACGCACCTTGATATCATAATGGCGCAGGTTGAACTTCTCGCGCGCACAGTATAGACTAAACACCATTTGGAAGAAAAACGGCACGGCGACAGACTCCAGAGGAAGCGCCTTGTTCTCCTGCAGGCTGATAAAGTCTTCAAGATCACCGCCGTCGCAGAATTCCATCCGCATGTACTGGAACAGTCTTTCGCAGTCATCACTTAATGGTGTTTGTGTTTGTTTCTGTGGACTCTCAGGTCCATCAAGATTGGCATTTCCGCTCGTTAACAACTCCACTGGTTTGCGATGCGTTTTGCTACCCCAGCGAGCAGGATGAGGTCGCTCGTGTGCCAGGAAAACTTCATAAACCCGGAGGAAATTTGGGCAAATGCCGTGCTCACACGCGTCGGACAACAGTACCGAATGTGCCACCTCTAGGCGAACAGCATCCTACACGAAAGCGGCGTTTAGTCATTGAATAAACACGTTACACCCTGATTGCGAATGGGCATACCTGATTGCTGATGTCGCCGATATCCATCACGCTAACAGCTTCGAGTCGCTTCTGCTCCGATGAAAAGACTTTGAACACCTCCTTGAGAGCACCATCCGATAAATAATGACCACACGGGTGACGACTGTAGAGTTGTGCCGACGCGTACAAGTTGGCTTTTCTGAATAGAGGAAATAAGGAGCAACGTTAGAACTCAGAAACCAATAGAGGTCATGCTTATTGCGCACTTGGAGTAGTCTGTGATACTCCAAGCATACGCCCTAATTGCATGCAGCAGAAAACACACGTATGTTAGTTCGCAGACGATCAATAAAACTGCTCAAGAACTTACATGACAGCGATCTTTTCCCACATCGTAGAGACCTTACGGAGCACTTCCTTCGATGCCGTCACATCTACCAATCCAGAGTAAAGCACAAGGTGTAGCACATTTTGTCCCAGTACGTTCTTCCTCTCTGCTGAGGAGATATCTTCGTGCGAAATACGTCGCTTGACTGGTGATAACGACATTTCACTCTCTCGATCCCACACCCAATCGTCTTCCACAAGCGGCAGGAATGATGAAGATACAAGACCAATAGAAGACAGTCGGTGACCTGACACTCGCCCCAGCTTCGTCATGCGCCTCGCAAGACGACGGTCTCTACGGACCGAAGGCTGCGCCAACACGTCCTCCATGGCATTAGCGATCGCCGTATGCTGTGTCGACGACAACAACCGGTGGTTCTCCGTGAACGAGACCACCTCCAGCTTCTGCGATTCTAATTTCTTGAAGTACTTTTTCAGCCGGATCAGCGCTGGATCCGTCTCGTAGTCTCCACCCTGTTCTTTCTCGTCATTTCCGCGTACACTGTCGTCAATTGGCTCAGGTTCCATGTCTGCGTCTTCCGCGTTAGCACCACCTCTATCCACATGACAGCACACACATTAGCGCAGCACTACACTTCTACTGATCTGTGGTACATACTCAATCGAAGGCATCCTCAGCTTTAGTTCGCTCAAAATGACGTCTACTTTGAGGCTGGCAATGCGTAGCACATTGCGTTTCAATGTAGCGCCAGATGTGAAACCCAGCGCTCGGATCCAGCTCTCCAGCTCGTCGCGTTTGCGTTTAGTCTTCCAACTTGACCCAGGAAGCTTCACTATGTAGCCTTGCCCGCCGCCAAATTCTGTCTCGAACTTGGTCTGTTGCATGATACTCAGTTGGTCGGTCAGATACTCGACGAATTCCTGAGGTGCGTCGTGTATTAGCTCCTTAGAGCTCTTCCACTCCAGTATAGGCTTCTGTTTTTTATTCGGCAGGCCCGTCCTCTTCGCCTTGGGCTTCCACTTGCCCCCAGTCACTCGGACATTATCACGCGGTGCTACAGGCGATGGAGACGGCTCCAGGAAACCACTGGAGGCCGCGTCGTCGGCCTCGTCCGCAGACGACAGCGGTGAGCTGCAGATATCTCTCGCCATAATTTCAAACTGACCGCGCCAAAAGAAAACACACTCGAAGTTTACAGAGTGATGGTAAAAGGGAAACAGCTTTTTCGACCAATCAACACGCAAGTAATCACTTCAACTTGTGGATTGGCTAAAAGCTTTGGCTCAGGGGGCGCGTGGCTTGGCACACGAGCGAAGGGCCACCAAGATTTGCGATAATATGCATGTCAAGCCGAGCTTCTTCCGGGCGCGACAGGCGTCACAGCAGCAGACTAAGTGGACGTCGGATCATGTGGATACTGGCGGTAAATCCTCGATGGGCGTATTGCTGGACTGGCTGAGCGCGCCGGGTAATTATGACCGCTGGCGGAGCTGCACTAGAGCTAAGGAGACCCATCGCCCATTGGCGGACGAGATCGTGCAGCAGCTACACGCCGAGGGCTTAGTACACCGCACTGCTAGCCAAGTACAAGCCAAAATGACAGAACTGGAGAACTCGTATCGCGAAGCAGCGGAGCGACTGGCCAGCACCAAACGCGAGCTGCAGGTGGCCGAAGGGACACCAGCAGAACGTAACTTGCAGCGCGTGCTGGAGCGCCACTGCCGATACTTTGCGTTGCTGCAGCCTATAATGAAGGGCCTGGACAAGGTGGTGGAATCGCCTCCGATGAAGAGGCCGAGACTCAGTACCAAACGGAAAACAGTGTCGATGCCAGTGGTTAGGGAGCCTGTAGCGGCTCCACCTCCTGTTGCTGCCCCTGCTCGAGCTACTAGTCCTTCGCCTGCGCGGTTTCGAACACCGTCGCCGTCGCCTTCGCCGGCAAAGAAGAGTTACCGGTATTCATTGCGTGAGCGACGCGGGGTGACTGAGACTACGGTCTGGGACTTTGACAATGAGGCTGCAGGTGGCGTTATGAGCCCACCGACACCTCCGACGCCGCCTGCGACGCGACCAGTGAGGAAGAGTAAGAGTAGGGCGATGGAATCCATGTCAGTGATGCTGGAAGAGGAACAAGAAGCGATAGGACAGACACGCAGTAGGCCCAGTGAGCGGCGGATTCAGCCGGAGCCGGTCAAGAAGCGCCCGATGTTGCGGTCAATTGACGAAATCGACCTGGAGAAGGCTCGAGTAGAGCTCACATTACGTCAGTTGGAGCTGCAAATGGCACGTGATAAAGCACTCGTCGCTCGTGTGAAGGCGCGGATGCAATTACTGGAGCAAGGCGTGTCACGGCGAGAGGTCGATCGCCTCATGCCACTTGATATCTGACCACAGATCCGGCTTGCAGTGAACCGCATCGAACTGATCTTTTGCAAGGGTTCGCTGGCAGAAATTATTGCAGGTGTGTTATTCTGGTAAAAATGCAAGAGATCCAAACGTTTGTGATGTTGGAAGTGTCGGCATTACATTCGCAAACTTAAATATCGAGTCAATAAACCATGACTCGTGGTTCTATAACTACATGCTGAGGCTTGGGCCGCTTTTCGACGGCGCCGAGCTCGGTCTTCTAGGTCCACCCAAGCATGAGGAGTGGGAGAGGTTGGGAGTATCCAGCACGGAGCGGTGCAGTGCGTGCACTAGCCTGCGTGTCGTCCGTTGCCTGGTGCGTACTACTTGAATGTAGTCTGGTTGTCCTGTTGAGGTCGATTGGTGTTGCATTTAGGCCTGAACGGGGAATGTGCGCTGCGAAAGCAACACGATGAGTTCGAGCTTGGAGATCGGGGACACATCGATGGGGCTTCGATCCACCGTAGGGTCGGCACTACCGATGATCTCGGGAGCCATGGCGAACGAGACACCCTTGCGCGCTCGACGTGGAGGTTTGGCCATCATATCCTTGCTGACCCATGCGCAGTCACGTGGACGCTCCTGCTTGGCGTATAAGGCACGAAGGCACTCCTGGCGGTAGTACTCAGTGAGGCAGGCCTCCATTTCCGATGCGCAACGCTTGCCGAGCATGTTTGTTGTGAATTGGCTTCCGGTGGCGTTACAAAGTTCAAAATAGGACGTTGATGGCAAATTGCACAGTGAGAGTTATTTAGCCCGGCCGCCTCTGCGGCGCAGACGCCACCTGCACCTGCCCGTAGCGACTTGCCGGCCAGCAGGTCTCGTCGCTTGTGGCGAGTACGGAGACTTTGCCTTTCCAGCCGTTCGCCGCGAACGTGCGCGAGACCAGACTGGACGTATTACTCGCCTTGGAAACCGTTGAAGCGCCGTCTTTTCGGCACATTAGACTTGTTTCCAGTAAGGAGACTTTTTAACTTGTGCATGTTGGACAATTGCTTCAGAACCTAGTGGCAGTCCGGCTTGGTGGCCTCTCTTGGTCATAGCTTGCCACAAGCTCGCGCCCCCGCATGTTTGTAATAAGACGCTGGGGTGGGGGCGAGGACGGAATGGATACGCTTGACAACCGGCGCATAGGAACATAGTGGAAATCCACCACCTGCTGGAGCCGGTAGACGATGAACGAGCAGCTCACTTCAACCAACCCGCACGATTGCCAACGTCCGCACGCATGGCCAGCGTTGGAACGCCTCAGCCATTTTCCGCCGATTCTCTGCTTATTCGTCTTCTTTTTTCGAGGCCGGCGCTATGGCCGACGAGCCTGTGCGCCGAACTCCCAGCTGGTCCCATAGCGGCACCAGGGCTCCAAAGCGAGAGCGGCCACGTAACGCCCGACCGTTGTCAGCACAGGTACTTTGCCTCAAGCGCAGGTGTCGCGCAGTTTCCCCCAACCTTGGAGCGCCGACACCAACTGCTTCTACAGCACCGCAACAGAGACTGGGAGATGGCCGGGTAAACTTTGAAGGAAACTTGTCCTGAGCTTTGACTTGAGGTCGAGTCAATACGAGATAACGTTTCCAAGTGCAGTCACGCTCCGTACAGTGGCGACAGTTCTTCTCGATGATCTTGGTGTCATTTCGTACAGCAAAAAAGCGAGGTTATCCACGCCAGGAGGAAGCAACGAAAACTTGTCTCGAAATTCGAAACTCTCGCGCTTTGCTGTTGCGCTGTTGTTTCTATCCGCGAAATTACAGGAAAAATATGCAGGAAAAAACTCGATCTTCAGCTTTGATCTCGGTAAAGGCCTAAGCTCGGTGGGGCGATTCTAGGCCCGATTACACCGTACCGAATTAACACTGCGGTGACGTTACTCCTGAGCTTTGCTTGGAGAGGAGCAGCGGGCGAAGCCATGTCAAGACCGGCAGCACCAGCCGGTCCATGAGCGCACGTAGGAGCTCGGCCGTGGTAGGATAAGGGAGCAACCTAAACACCAAGCGGTGCGGCGCGAACAGCTTGAAGGCTACCAAATCCCGCCATTGTTGACCAGGCAGTATGGGATAGTAGTCGCCGAAGTTGCTACAGAGCACGCCCGCCACAAACACATTACCCGTCATCGTGTACACCGTCTTGGCCCCTCGATGCTTGACGTGAGTCAATCCAGTGATTCTGACCAAGCTGAGTCCAGCTTGAAGCTCTTCTTGACGCTCGGTCTTGCCATCGGACCAGCTCCAGTTTCTGACCGCCGTTGATACGGTTTCGGTGTTGCTCTCACGCAGAAATGATCGAGAGGGCGATGGGAACGTCAAGAGCAGGTCGTTCACCCGCAGCTCACTCGCTGGTTTCTGTGCGAAGCTCGCTATCATCGCGTGCGAATCCGGGTCAATATCGAAAGTTTTGCTCTCTGGAAGGTAGTAGACGAGGTGCTTCGGGGTGAGCTGGAGCACTTCAACAAAGACCTGGGAAAATACGCATATTACACACGTCACAGATGTTGGTCACACGTCACAGATTTCAACAAAAAAATGCTTCCAGTACGGGCGATCCGATCCTGGTCCAAAAGCAGTAGGTAGAGGCAGTCTCCGCACCGCACCGCATGGCCAAGGTCTGATCTGGCACGTACAAACTGACCTGCTCATCATCCATGCCTTCGAGGCTCACACTGATGAACTCCGTCTCACCCAACAGATCGCTTTCGTGTGGAATGTAGTACACCGTGGAGTACACGAGTTTTCCATGCTCATCGATTGCTAGCACAGAGTCTCCGATCTTTACGTCACCCAAACGTTTGGTCTTGCCACCAGCAACGACAACCGGAGCCGATTCGGGGAAGCAACTTGCTACAAACGTATAATGCAAAAGCGCGTCAAATTGATACGAACCTCATGAAAAAGCGGCGTGCACCACGTACTCGAGTCGATGATAGTGTATCCTAGCTCACTTTGACAGAACGCTCCAGTCTTCCCACTATTGCACATGCAATTGCCACCTTGCACACACACTCCTTCGCCGGAGCAGATTTTGCCTTCGCGTTCGCACAACACTACAAGACAAGCAACCCAAGGTATCTCAGTCATGACAGCTCATTGCGATCGTTTGTGTACATATGTACACTGAATTGTACGCACTCCCGTCTCTGCTTTGAAAGACATCGTTCACTTTCTGGACTCCCACATTTCCAGCTATAAGAATCAATGTCGGTACACTTGTGCTGTTCTGGTAGCGAGCGTTTGGGTCTGTTTTGCATAAACCACATCCGTCCGGGTAGATTGTCTTCGTGAGCATGGAGTTGTTGACAAGCACCGTGTGCTGGGCCGGAATCTCCGGTAAAGTTGTGCTGGGGATACATACTGGAATGAGTTGGTCGGCAAGACTAATCGTTCCGTCTTCATTCGTGCACGACTCGTGACAATAGTATGCTCGAGTGACTGTGCGGCGGAACGGTACAACGGAGTGTCCCCACTTGCCCATACATACCTGTGTGTTGCTTTGAGCTACCATACTCCATTCGGCAGTCGAAATACCTGAAGAATTCGAGCTTGCTGCTACCCATTTCATGCCATCGCGTGTGTACCAGACATCCGAGAAAGGATACATTTTCTCGATCCCGTTACCGATGATCCCTCCACCGAGCACCCACAGCCTTGGTCCAAGCTGGACATCACCATTCGTTCTAGAGTCAAAAGATACAAGAGAAAACCACGCTCGAGCGTCCCATGGTGCAGATTCGACAAGTAACTTCCACTTTCCAGTGGAATCCATTCGCCATACATCGCTCAGACTGATGTCACGCCACCCGCCCATCAGGAAGAGAAATTCCTCTCGAGATGAGTCACCTACTGTCGCGTTAGCCATGACCTCGTGGGTTGCGCATGCGTGAGCGGCTCTTGGTGACCATGGTGCGTTACTTTGTTGTTTCCAAGGCCCTGCGAGTACTGAAGACGTGGACCAAACCTCATTGTTCATCGGACTACCACCAAGCACCCAAAGCTTGCTGTTGAACACAACCGAGCAGTGGTAGCCTCTGCCCGACCAAGGTACTGTTGCAGTTGCCTCCATCCACGACGCTATACACAGCACACCAATTGAGCAATCCGTACTACTTCCAAAGCACTTCTACAATTACCTACCTCCATCGGTGGTCACCCAGATATCGGTCGCTGGCTCAGGTGAAAATCCTCCTAGCAACGTAAGACGTTCCACTTTATCCTTTAAATCGGTGAAGGTGATCAACGAATGTCCGTAGCGTCGACGAAACGGAGCTTCCTCTAGAACCTCTGTCCATTCAACACCATCTGATGAGTATATCACATCCGACCTCGTGGTCGTGTAATCCAACCGCTTGGTGTAGTAAGACGCCGATACACCCCCAACAATCCAAAGTTTATCAGCGAAAGCTGCTGCTGCGTGGGCTGTAGACCAACGTCAAAGTCAGTCACCACGATCTTAGCTAGTCAAAACAGTAAAACTTACAATCTCGTGAAAATGTCAGCTCCGATAATAGCGACCACCGTACAATAGCCTCTTGCTCTGTCACTGTAGAATTGCACTCTAGTTCTGTTGTAGTCGTGCTTGCGGCGTTCGTTAGCGCTATAAAGCATAGAGACAATGCCAGTCTTGCAAGCGATTGCCATCGTCTTTCAGTCATCGCTTTAATGCTGGTATCGAATCTTTCAGAGGACGCGTCCGTTGACACGGAACCGTAGAGGTGTAAGGACCTATGAATGGTGACGTTAGATGTGATAGTGTAGTTAATAATGCGCCCGCACTGTAAGATAATAAATCGCTGCGCTTGATTCCAGCATTCTTGGTCTTTTGTAGTGATGGTGTAAATGCTGACTACGATGGCATTGCCATGCGTGATGATATCTGCTCTATTAGTACTGGAAGTGTAATTCTGAAGCTCCAAGAGCTGTGCCGAAAGTCGTCTTGCTCTCTGAAAGGAGAGGGACTTCATCTGAATAGACTGAGAAGGAGGTGACGAAGTCAGAGCGGGTCACGGCGAGAGCTGGTATGGGTAGGTGCAAGCAAGACGACGGCGCGGGCTGCCAACTCACCCCCGTCACTATACCCGATTTGATCCGTGCAGTTTTGACGCTCTTTCCTGGCCTCGACTGAGTCGGTCTCGTCGATGATTTTGGCCTGCAGGATTTCCTCTACGATGTCTTCAAGTGTCACTAAGCCTTTCAGCTCGTAGAACGGATCACCCTGGTCATACAATAAAGGAGAAGCTCAGGTAAATCACTCAGCTTGCAAAGATCCACAGCAAACGTACCGGTCCAGAATTATTGACATCGTACACTAGTGCCATGTGGGTGCTGCCCATTTTGAAGACGCTGAGCACCTCACCAAGCTGTGCATCGAGCCAAATACGGTGTGCTGCGACTGCAAACACACGTGCAAATGCCATAAGGGGCACGTCTTCGTTCGGATCCACGTAGATCAAGTCCTTTGTGAAGACGATGCCCACCACGTCGTTCGGGTCTTTATTCCACACCGGAATGCGACTGTATCCATTGTTGTAGATCATCTTGAGAGTCTCTAAGTTGAGTATCGTGCTGGCGTGCAGAAGACAATCAAGCGGTTAAGGAAACAAACAATATAAACAAATTGCAGCACTCTTGAAAACACGTCAGCATGGGAAAGGATATCGGAAGGGAGAAGAGTTTCTCGGCCGGGATCATAATATCGCTGACGACTTTTGTCTTGTACCGCATCGCGCCGCGTACAATATACCCCTCTTCGGGGTGCATGATCTTCTGTCTCACGTGAATTTCCACGAGTTTCTGAAGCTCCCGCTTGGTGAATACCGTGCCCACATCCTCACCGACTGTGCGGTCCAGCACGTAGCTGACCGGTTTGGCGAAAATGTACAGCATGAGTCTCAACACTCTCACGACCGGTACAAACATCGATCCTATTGCCAGTGCGTGTCTCGAGCAGAGTGATTGCGGGACAATTTCGCCACAAATTAAAATGAGGATGGTCGACACGAAGAAACCCACGAGGCCACTGGTCAAATCTGCCATCAGAATCGACAGCAGACTGTTTACCGCCACAGTAGTGAGTACTAACGTCGTAAGCAGCAGGTTGCTGTCCGCTCGGACGGGTAGAATGCGTCTGGCGGCCTTGGCCTTCTTCATCTCGTCTTTTGTAGCTCCTGGACGATCTCCAGCGCGGACGATCACATTCAAACTCACTTTGTCCAGTGACATAAGTCCCAGTGTGAGCCCCGACGAGATGGCCGACATGATAATGAGCAGAACAATCGCGATATAATGGATTACAGTCATGATGTCGGATTCCTCCGAGCCTGTGTCTGCCATGTCCGCATTGGCACCACTTGCCTCTTCGTCCTGGACGACGTCCGTGATGCGCCGTGCTATGAGGCTCGTCGAGGCCGCACGGAAGAGCAACGACGTCATGGAAGAAGCCATGGCTGGATGTACAAGCAACAAGAAGCTGAAGCCCAGTCCTCGCCGCATCGCCGACGTGCAGACGAATAAATGAGTGGGTTCTGATACTGTGCGTACGTTGAAGACTGAGCTGAAGTTGTCGTTTTGGTTCAAATGTTCTATTTTTGTGCCAAAGATACTTTTTCGACCGAAAACCGACAAACACTCTACGAAGTGTTGAGACACGGCAAATGTGCATTAAAAAGTTTTATGAAATCACTTGCTTCAGCAACTTGCTGGTCTCTGGCAAACATTAAACATACCAGTACCCGGCCTGCACCATGACCTCCGGGTAGAGGTTGTGCCATTCCTGCACCAGCGGCGCGTACAGCTCCGGATGCGAGCGTTGGAAAGCGGCGGGGTCCTCTGCGAAGCACACGAAAATTGTGGCGACTGAGCTGTCGATGACGGCGAGTGGCGTGACAGCAACACCGATGCCAACCACGAGGCCTAGGATAGCCAGTGTTGCCGTGCTGTTCTGGAAAGAGACAGCATCGGTCGTCTCCGCAATCAACGCGCCAGCACCAGCACAGATAAGTCCTGTGATACAAAGCAAAAGTTAGCACTCTTTAGTCGTCCACAAATCAGCAACACAACACGAGTGGAACGTACCAACACCCAGAGCTGCGAAGCCAAGCACGTTGCCAATGAGATCGTCGTTGATGATAGCATCGAAGCCGCGCTGTTTGAAGAGTTCGAACACGGCCTTGCCAGCCTGCGTGAACTTGTAGCCATAAATGCCGACGTACACGTACGCCCAGCGATTGAAGTACTCCATCAGCGACTGCAGACATCCGAGGATGCACTCAGCAAAGCAAGCCAATGCGCTTCCATCCTGGCGACTGTTCTCCGCCAACTGTTAATGGAAAAAAGCCTTGTCAGCACATGAACTGGGAGTAACGATCTAATAGAACGTACCGCACGAAGAGCCTGCAGAAAAGCAACAATCAGCGATCCAAAGCAGATAGATCCGAACGACGTGGTCGTGGCGCGCTTCAGCGACGCACCCGTGGCGCCCATGGACTCGGATTGGTACCAGAACGTGGCGACAGTACCCGCGACAGTCGTGTGAGCAACATTCTTGAAAACCTGCAGTCCCCAATAGAACGACAGTAGTAGAAAGAAGTACGCGACGTACGATCCTCCCGATTGCTTGTAGGTAGATCTGGTGGACGTATTGGTGTTGTTGCTTGTAGAGCTCGGGTTGTTCTCAGCAATTTCGTTCGCAACGCCCAGCAGTGCCATGGCCCAAATCACGACCCAGCCAATCTGCACGATAGTAAAAACAAGAGACACGATATACGTCGATCCATGCTTGGAAATAGCCCCCTCAGCCACACGCAAGTTGGCGACTGCGAACGGGATGCGATGCTGCACCGCACGCGCGTAGCAGAGGTTCAGCATGGCAATAAGGAGGCCAATAATGCCGATGAAAATGTTGCCAATGATGAATCCAAAGGCCGCAAAGGCGAACGAGATGCCGACGTTGAACCACAGTACGAACAGGATCATGACCCGCGCGTAGGCGACAATGAGCTTCACCATCAGCAATGCCAGCACCATCGACACGCCGGCCATGCCCACAGCGATACCCACCACAACCTTCGTGTCGTCGCCCGACATCAGCTCGCTTGAGTTGTTTTCCGGATCCGTGACCGTATCAACGCCCCAGAGGACCATCAATGCGATGATAACTCCCACATTTAGCACGAATAGCAGCGCAAACGGCCAGTCCTGGCACCCAACCTTGGCCTCGACGTTCTTCTGGTCTCTGCAGTCAAATAAACAACAAGTTAGTGCCAGTGAAGTACACATGAGGTGATGTAGATTGCTTAAGCTTACGGCTTGATGGGGTTCACTTCCGGTGCGCTCTGGACGGGAACAGCCTCGCTTGTGTACCTGCACGCAAAAAGAGACGATCAGATGGCTGGGAGGCGAGGGCGGAGCGAGGTAGAGTATCAGACGTACGGCTGATTAAACATGACGCTTGGATGCCTGTCGGCGTCGTTGTTTCTCCTTCCTTCTCCCTTGCCTTCCTCAGACGCTTCACTGTGCTTTTAGCTCGACTGTTTGCAAAGTGAGCGAGTTTTGTGTGGGACAAAAAGAGGTGATGGCTGCTTTGTCGAAATTACCACTGGGTACAAAAATCTAGGACTATTCGAAAACTCAAAATCTGCCAGGGTGAGTCAACGCAGCTTTTGGAATAGCACAACGAAATGTTGTGCAAATGCATCGCGTGGACGCCATGTATAAGGCGTATATGCATTCACCATTGTGAAGTTTCCTTGAATGTATATGACTCTGGTATAATCTTCTACGGGAATTATGTCCAAGTCGGCATCGAGTCCTCTACAAAATCTGACGAAATTCCTGATCCTGCTCAGTTGTAGTGAAGACAGGTCAGCGAGTTCGTACCCTCTCAATCGACATGAGGATACGTGTAACATCAACTACAGCACATTGATTCACCTGCAAAAAGTCACCGGCTCAGTTTGCTAATGCCTCTATAATTCATGAATTCATGTAGCGCGGCTACTGGCCGCCATTACTGTCCTTGTATAGACCAGTGGCGCGAAATCATCTTTTGCACCTAATTCGCTTCGCGAACCTCGTCAGCTTCGAGCAAGTTTAAAGCAAAAAAAATGGTACCACCTCACATTTCGCAAAATTTTGGTCTTTAGGTACATGTACAGTATCACAAAATACAATCCCGCAACACAGAAAAATATCCACCTTTTTCAATTTTTCAATTCCTTCATCCTTCGTCGTTGACATGTTTCAGATCCGAGTGGAGGCTGCCGACATGGCCGAGGAAGAGGAGGCCAAGGCCGAAGAGCCACCGCTCGACGACGCACAAGATTTACAAGGTGCATCCTTCCTGGCTGGCAACCCGCAAGTGCGCGAGACCACGGGCAAGCTTCGTTTCTACCGGGCGGACAAGCCGTACTCGTCATCTTCATCGTCTGGGGGTAGCCAACAACTGCCCAATGAGCGTAGCACGTTGGTCTGCGTAGTTACAGTGCCGTCGCATATGTCACCTGTGGAGATTCTCGAGTTCCTGGCCAGTTTTCGGGAGGATATCGCGCTCGTGCGCATTTTGAAGGACCCAGAGCGCAGCAACTGTATGGTGCTCATGCAATTCAATTCACAAGAAAGAGCGGACCAATTCTTTCAGGTATGAGAGTGACAAACTCCACTATATCACTGTCGCTAATATCGTGGTTCATATGTTAATTTTGTGTATCCCATTTTCTTATTTGTGACCAGGTCCATAATGGCAAGTACTTCAATTCGATCGAACAGGAGCGTTGCAAAATTGTGTTTGTGAGGAGCATTGAGTTTGACCCAGTAATAGATGAAGACGACCCAGATTGTGATGCGTTGGAGGAAAAACACACTGATGGAGAGGACACTGCTGCTCCAATGCCGTCGAGTCCGCGATCAGAGAGAAGAGCTAGCAACGCACAGATCAGGAAGCTATTCCCTCCCCCACCCGCAGGCATGACTGAGATCCCGACATGTGCGGTATGTCTGGATAGGCTGGACGCGTCAGCGTCGGGCATTTTGACGACGCTGTGCAACCACTCGTTCCATTGTGACTGCCTCTTTCGATGGGAAGGATCGAGCTGCCCTGTATGTCGGTACAGCCACGGAGACATTGGCTCATCGTGTGAAGTGTGTGGCACAGCCGAACACCTTTGGATCTGCCTGATCTGTGGTCATGTGGGCTGTGGTCGCTACTCGGGCGAGCATGCAAAACAGCATTATCAAGAAACTCTGCACACATATTCACTGGAGTTGGAGACGCAGCGCGTGTGGGACTATGCCGGTGATGGATATGTGCACCGACTGATTTTGAACAAGCAAGACGGCAAATTCGTCGAGTTTCCGAGTCCAAACAATCTTAGCGGTGAGCGCTCGCAAACTCCACCCACCACCTCTGCCGAAGAAGAAGAAGGGGAACACCGCAAACTCGAGAAGCTTGCAGTTGAGTACAACTTCCTCCTGAAAAGGTAGGATATATGTGTTAGTCGGTTGGCGAATGACCTATGTATGTCTAATACTTTTGTCTGTACTAGTCAATTAGAGGAGCAACGCCTCTACTACGAACGGTTGCTTGCACGTGTGGAAGAAGGCGAGAGCCGGCAGTTGCTGAATGCACACGAGCATGAACGCAAGCATCTGAAAAAGGCAAACACAACTCTAGTGGAAAAGACCAAGAAGCTCGAGGAGGAGTTGACGTTTGTCAGGTGAGGAGTGCATGCAGAGTTATATGTGTAGAAGTTTCCCAACTGAATGTTTTTGTGACGCAGAGAGCTGAATAAGTCCCTGATCGACAACCAGAAGCAGTGGAAGGAGCGTGTGCGGCTGTTAGAAGAGCAAAACGCACGAATTGAACAGGAGACTGCGCTGCGCATTGGCGATCTAGAGGGTCAAGTGCGTGATCTCATGTTCTATCTCGACACCCAGAACAAGGTCGAGCAGAGTGCTCACCGCGAGGACATTATGGTGTGTCTTCCCTGCTATTGCTATCGCTGTATTCATCTAACCGTTTCTTCATTTGTTGCAGGGCGGAACGATCGAGATCGAATCGAAGTCAGCAGCTAAGGAAAATACCTCGTCATCATCGTCATCTAGACGAAAAGGCAAGAAAAAGAGATAGAACATGCAGGTGAAAGCCTAGAGCGCTAGTAAATAAAATTTTAGACAGGGATATTTTTGCTTTTGTGTACTTCATGAAGTAATTGTGAGCCTTTGGCCGTAACGTAACAGGAAACAACGAAGCTTTTAAGGCAGGAGCTTATCCAATTTCCTGACTAGTTGCTTTCCAGACCAGTTGCATTAGCATATTCTCAGTACATGAAATGATCCAGAATTTTTGACTCCTTTCTAGAAACCTATCGTGTGGTTAATATATGAAGATTTGTAAGGGACAAGTTGAAGTGCGTCACTCGACACTATTCCACCCGAAATCTCACTTCAACTCGACTTGACCGCCGTCTGGCAACAACTGATACTTTCACACGGTCATTGACGAATTTTCTACAACCAACGCAAGTAAACGAACAACGAAGCAACCACCCAAACACACTCTCTCAACCATGTTCAGCTCGTGGGATCTCGTGCGACCTCGCTTCTGGTACCCTATGTCCTCGCTGGAACAGTCCATGATGGAGCTCGAGCAGATGAGCGACATGATGATGCGTCCGCATTTCCCGTTCTACACCCGCCGAGCAGTGTAAGCAGAACCAAAGTACATGGGCGTAGAAGATGAAGATAACTCGGATGACGACGACGATTTCTTCGTGGACTTGCCGGTAGTGGCGCGCAAGTACAAGTCAACACCGTTCCAGTTGGATGCCGTCCCTCAGGTTACTCCGGGAGAAAACAGTGACCAGGAATTTATGGACGCCAAGAAGGCTGTTAACACCAATTCGGACACCGACACAAGCACCGATATGGACGTCGATGATGAAAATAAGACGAGTGAGACTTCAAGCAAGGCGAACTCCTCCAAGAAGACGAGTAGGACTGGAGATGGCATTGCGAAACGACGCAACAAGAACAAGAATCCCGACAAGCAGCTTCGCAAACACTCGAACAATGTCACCCCCACTGCCGAGAGAATGGTGGCACCCAAGAAAAACGCAGACGGCCACACCTCATCATATTCATTCAGCAGCTCATCGGTAGTGGATGACCAAGGCCGTCGAGTCACGACCGACCGCCGTCGCTATGAAGACTCAACTGGCCGACTGAAAGCCGCGCAAGAACGGGAGATCGACGGTAAGAAGATGCGCACGACTTGGAGCCGCCAGAATAAGGAGGACGAGGGTCAGCATGAATCGATCTGCTCAAGTGGCAGTCCAGAGGAGTTTGAGGCACTACGGCAGCAGACTCCATTTGATGAGGCACAGAAGATGAAGGTGAAAGGGCAATTGCAGTCCGAGTCGGATGTTGAAGAGAGAGGTGACGTTAACGACAGCAGCACTGGAGCATGCCACAATGGAGGAAGCACTGATGGAGAAGCCGAAATCATCAACAGAGAAGAGTGACAGAGCTATGTTTAAGAACGACGACGAGGCGAAGTAAAGGAGAAGTGGTTGAGTATGATAATATTTAAAGATGCATTTTTTTTAATAGAAAATTTAAGGTTGACGTATGTTTCGTGGTAGCGTTGCTTTCAAATTTTACATGGTAGTGCTAAACTGCAGAGTTCACCAGGGGATATGACGTAATGGATCGAGGAGTTTGTAAACGGATGACATCTGCAGCTTGCAAGCGCAACACCAAACCGTCATTAGTTAGTGAACAAGGGAATACCATTGGTGCCTTCCATGCTTAAATGTTTATGTCGTGCACATCATTTTGTGTCCGTTTCATGTTTTCATTTCGAAATTTTAGTGACACATTTTTTTTAATTAGTGACATCACGTCAGTTGCTTATCCCCAACGCATTAAGCAAAAAGCACGAGCAGCGAGATGGAGGAAAAGCAACGAGAAGACGCTCGCAGCGCTGCGAGCCGAGTGGAGCGGCCATCGCGAGGCGTTGGTCCTGCAGGCGGAGCGTCGGCTGGTGGCAGTGGATCTGGGCGCAATAACGTGGTCGTCAAGGTGGGAATGGTGGGCGATGCGCAGGTGGGTAAAACGAGCCTCATGGTCAAATACGTCGAAGGCAAGTTCGACGAGGACTACATCCACACTCTGGGCGTCAACTTCATGGAGAAGACCATTGCGTTGCGCAATACGGAGATTACGTTCAGCATCTGGGACTTGGGTGGCCACCGCGAGTTCATCAGCATGCTGCCGCTCGTGTGCAACGACGCAGTCGCCATCCTCTTCATGTTCGACCTGTCCCGGAAGGCCACACTTACAAGTATCAAGGAGTGGTATCGCCAAGTGCGCTCCATCAACAAGGTGCGGCATTGACAGAGGCTTGCAGGGCTCTATTGTTTATCTAACTCACTTCTGAATTGACCAGAATGCGTTTCCGTTCCTAGTGGGGATGAAGTATGATCACTTCGCCAACTTTGCCGCGGAAGAGCAGGAAGATATCACAAAACAGGTGCGTGTTGGTGGTAATTTTCTTTTACGTTTTATTTTTTCGCGATGCTGAATGTGTCATGATTATGTCGATCTAGGCTCGCAAGTTTGCTAAGGCCATGAAGGCGCCGTTGATCTTTACGTCGGCCTCGCACTCCATCAACGTGCAGAAAGTGTTTAAAGTAGTACTCAGCAAGGTGTTCGACCTCAAGTGCACGGTTCCCATCATCGACCGCGTCGGCGATCCCATCCTCCAGTACTAGTAGCCATCGCCACACGGTCACTACGAAAAATTTACCCAAGGATCTGCTCTTGGTGTCGCTAAATGTAAAACCAATGATTTGCGTCGTGCGGGGTGTTGTAGGCACTGATACAGTCCTCTGTCACAGAGGCTCTGTACATTGTAGAAGTTGCAAAAAACATAAAGTATCGCGAAAACTTCCAGCGAAAAAAAGAGTAAAAAAAATTGAAAAAAAATGGCTTGTTTCATCGTTGTGCTGTTATTTGGCAGGTGTTCAAAGAATAACTGAACTGAATGAAACTAAGCTGATCAAAATGGTGAGGACTTGAAAGATTCTCTTACTCAAGGTCAATGCCAGAGTACTCATCGATACCCAGAGCAACGTTAATGTTCTGCACTGCCTGCGTAGCTGCACCCTTGAGGAGGTTATCGATGGTGGCAATAACCACAAGACGGCCGGTGTCCTGGTCCAGCTGGAAGCCGCCCACAGCCACGTGCGGGTGGTACGCGTTGTCCTTGACGAACGGAATGTCCGACTTGACCTTCACCAAAGCCTCGTTCGCGAAAAACTCGTGGTAAAGCTCTTCTGCCTGCTTCGCCGATGTAATAAGCCCATTGTCAGCAAGCTGAGCAGACAGCGTAAGGTGGATGCCCTGGAAATACGGGGCCACGTGCGGCATGAACCGAACGGGCGTGCCGAGCTGGTGGCTGACCTCGTTCTCGTGAATGTGGTTCACAGACTTGTAGGCAATGATGTTGTTCTGAAGCTTGTTCAGGTCATTGGCCGCAGAAGGGTTCGTGCCAGCACCGCTGTAGCCCGAAATGCCGAACACGTGGGGCGGAACACTCTCGTCGATCAATTTGCCGCTCACCTGAGGCTTACCACCAAGCAGTGGCATCAATCCGACCTGCGCGCCAGTGGCATAGCAGCCCGGGTTGGCAATGTGCGTGGCGCCCTGCAGCCGCGTGCGACCACCTGGAGCCTCCGGAAGGCCGTACGTCCACTCAGCATTAAAGCGCTGGTCAGCACTCAAGTCGATGATGATCTTGTCCTTACGGCGGAGTGCGTCCAGAGCCGTGGCGTAATCCTCGCAGTAGCCGTTCGGCAGAGCCAAAACCCACACGTCGACGCTCTCGCCAAACGGTGAGGACGGGATACCGTCCAGTCCAAGCTCGCAGAACTTGAGTTCGGGGTCGATGTTCAGCTTCAAGTCCTCCACCGGCTTGGCTGGCAGCTTCGTGTGCGGGTTAAGAGGAGGAACTGACGCAACATCCAGCACCTTCTCGCCTTCCAGCGCGCGAGAGCTAGCACACACTAGTTCAAGCTCCGGGTGACGGCCAATCACACGAATGAGCTCACGGCCAACGTATCCACGAGCGCCGAGCAGACCTACACGGTACTTGCCGTTAGGGCCACGCGGAACAGACACCTTGGCCGTGTTTTTAGCGCTAGCAGCGGGCTTCTCGCCCTTGATGCACGTCGTACCCGCGCTCTTCTTGCTGACGATCTCGCGCATAAGCTCCGACGCCGACGTGAGAACCACCGACGAGGTCGACGGCAGACCCTGGAGCAGAGTGTTGATCTCGTTCAGCTTGAGGAGCGTACCCTGACGGCCAGTGTAGTCACGGGCAGCCATGCGTTCGTAGTCCTTGGCCATGTTGATCGTCTTGAGCTTGGTGCCGTCGTCCTCGATCCAACCTCCCTTGGCGTTCACGAAGATGGTCTTGAGTGGCTGAAGGTTGAGGGCCAGCTGACGAGCGGCCACATCGGCGTTGATGTTAAGTGTCTGGCCATTGGCGCTCTCACCCAGACAAGATAGCACGGGGATCTCACCGGCGTCAATGACGGCCTGTACCGGGTCACCGTGGATCTTGTTCACCTCGCCCACGAAGCCATAGACGTCCTTGTCTTTGAAATCGGCCTGGATAACGCCGCTGGTGATGCCTCTGGCCGGCACACCGGCCTTATTGAGGGCGGCCACGAGCGTGGCGTTGGTGTCGACAAAGATTTTCTGAGCAATGTCGAGTGTCTTCTGGTCCGTGACACGGTTGCCACCCACGTACTGAGGTTCTACGCCTTGCTTGTCCAGCTCAGCGTTCATTTGCGGGCCGGCGCCGTGCACGAGGATGGGGAAGAGACCAGTGTCCTTCATGAAACGCAGCGACTCGATGAGCGTCTCCAGCTCGTGTATGATCACGTCGCCGCCGATCTTGATCACCGTCGTGTGCTTGGCGCCAGGTGTGCGGTACAGCTTCTTGAACTCTTCAAGTGTGGCCTCCGGGGCCAGGACCTTGGCAAGGTTGAGTGCGTAATCGTCGCTGGCCTTGGACGACAGCGTGCGGGTCTGTAGCGACGCGGACAAGGCTGGCTGGGCCACGGAGGCAAAAGGTGTCGCACACGCACGAGAGGTGACAGTCATCGCCAAGGCCTGCGAGCTACGCGCCGCGGCACGGTTCAGCACCGGCATCTGCTTGGCCACGGAGCGCCACATTCTTGGTGCTGTAGTGACGAAGATCGCTGCAAAGGAAGGACTCTTCGAGTGTGCGGTGTACGTAGACAACCGCTGGTGAAGTAGTGGTTATCATTTATACAGTACTTAAAGGGCAAAGTAATACTTAGGACTAATATAGTATAGTATTTCAAAATTCTTCGAGGTGATTTTTTTTACTTCACGCAACTGTAATACACAATGGAATACAGTATTAGATGAATAAATTTGAGTTCAACACACAAAATCAATTATGAGCGGTTTGAAGCAGACGACAGGAGATCCAACAGGAATTCGCGGCTGCTGTTAGTCCCGATAGGCTCGAAATATATTCGTGGTGCGGATGTCACTTCTCGCACGGAATCTTTAAAAATCGTAATTAGCGGGACGCTCTGTTTGAGCTCTAAGCCAAACGCTGACGGTTAGGCATTCTTCACCTTTTGGCAAAACACACTCTTGGAGCGCCTCTCTCGCGTTATTAACCTTCAGATCACCTTCAAAAAGTATGTGGCCATCCGAACAGGATTAGTTTCGCGTCCGGATAGAACGCAAGTCTCTCTTTCAAATTCTGCTACAGCGGTTCCCGCTCAAACAAGTTCCAAAACCTACTACTATCAGTATCACTATAACGTTGGCATGGCAAAATATCTGAGTTTTGCTGTGCTGTGCAGACCAAGGAGGGCTGCGCTGCGAAGACCTAGAACATTGTGACAGTCCCATCTCTGGTAAATCTTTGGATATCTTATATTGGACGACTCAAAAGCTAGGTACAGCATGTATAGGGTATTATCTTTTCTCATGAGCTGTTTCTCTACTTCGAGGACGTGTGCGAGGACTTGAAAGTCATGGATCTCTTTGCAACTATTTTGCGAAGAATTGAGCGTTACCTGACATGTGAGTAAGCTGGTTGCATGTGCGGACATGTAGTGAACGAATACGGGAAAGTAAATGGAAAGATAGCGCAAACTATCAGCGTACAAGTAGCTGCGAGCTGCGCATCACGACTTTCTTATTTTAATTGTATTAAAGTTGTCATAATAAATGTAATATATTTCTAATGGTATACACGACAGTATTACTTAATAATAGCAAAATATATATTATTCAAAATGTATTGTGATACTAAATGTTAATAGTTAAATGTATAGTAGTAGAATAATACTAATGTTGAGATTTATGTGCACACAAATTAATTAAGTGCGGTTTGAGCCAGAAGTGAGGAGACCAACCAGGAGTTCGCAGAAGAGCTGCTTGCATGCGTGTGATTGGCTGCTAGCGGGAGATAGGTGCGCGGTCTCCGAATTCAAAGCCCCGGCCGCGTACTTTGGACCAGCTGCCCATCCTCCTTTCGAAGCTGGATGAATGGCGCAGACCAATTCTCGTCCGCCTCTCAACATCGTGATGATGGAACTCCAGGCCCAGTGAAACTTCTTCTGGCGGCAAGGGCGTAGAGGCGGAGGTTTGTACGCGCTGAGTTCTGTACGGCACGCGTCACGCAGAATTACAGGAGCTACATGCATTTTGTATCCCAATAGAGAACGAAGGCCCTGCGGAGCGCCAAAGTGAGCACCAAACTTTGATCCACAGTGCTTCTTTCCAAGCTGAAATGCAACACATCGCAGGCTACTCAACAAAAAAAACTGCATCTTCGTTGCTTTACTTGTACACCGAGCTGTAGTGCCAGGAGAATCGCTACGAATGAGCTCTGTCGAGTTCTTGCTGGTGACCTCCATAGCCTGTGTACATGTGTACGCCAAGCAACCAAGTTGCCGTTGCTGTTGGTCAGATCCCGTGGCTCGTTTTTGTTGTGTGCCTAAGCCCGGTCTCTGCCCTTGATTTATCCCCCGTAGCTTGGCTTCTTTTTGCGAGCTCCGCATCTTGCAATTTCTATGCACGACGGCCACGTACTCAAGAGATCTTGTAAAAGCCGTCTCTTCAGCTCTGCCCTTTGACTCGCGATCCTGCCATTTCCCAAACGGAAGCGCCGCGGACAAGAGGCCCCACGCCCCACCGCTTCCCCCCTCTCTTGTCGCTTTAACCGAGTGTTTTGATCAACCGACGGGATGCTTCGCCTGTCGCACTCGGTAAAGCGCCGTGTGCCGCTGCACAAGGCCAGTGGCAACCGCCTGCTGGTGTCCGCGCGCGAGAAAGTTGATCGCCGCAATGCACCGCGCTTCGAGACGCCCGCTGTACTCGAGTTTGAGGATGGCACGCGCTTCCACGGTGTGTCGTTCGGTGCCAAGAAGTCCATGGCCGGTGAAGTGGTCTTCACCACGGGCATGGTGGGCTACCCGGAGGCTCTTACGGACCCGTCTTTCAAGGGCCAGATCCTCAACATGACCTTCCCCATGATCGGCAACTACGGTGTGCCTGACACTAAGGCGTTGGATGAGTTTGGTCTCAACAAGAACATTGAATCCGACCGCATCCACGCAGCCGGTATGATCGTGCAGGACTACTCGAACCACCACAGCCACTGGAACGCTGCACAGTCACTGTCTGAGTGGCTCGAGAGCGAGGGTATCCCCGGTATCGCTGGCATTGACACTCGAGCCATCACCAAGAAGATCCGCGCGCACGGTGCCATGGCCGGCCGCATCATTGTCGAGGGCAGCGACAAGCCCAACCTTGTGGATGTCAACGAGGCCAACTTGGCTTCGCTTGTCTCCACCAAGGAGGTCATCACCTACGGCAAGGGTAACCCGCTTAAGATCCTGGCCGTGGACTGCGGTATCAAGTACAACATCATCCGCGAGCTCGTCAAGCGTGGCGCCGAGGTCAAGCGCGTGCCTTGGAACCACGACATCTCGTCCGAGATCGGCTGGTACGACGGTCTCTTCATTTCTAACGGTCCCGGTGATCCGGCCATCATGAAGGAGACCACGGCCCAGCTCAAGAAGGCGTTGGCCCTTCAGGGTGACGACGTCAAGCCTATCTTCGGTATCTGCCTGGGTAACCAGCTGCTCAGTCAGGCCGCCGGTGCCACCACGTACAAGCTTCCGTTCGGTAACCGTGGCCAGAACCAGCCCGTGCACAACCTCAAGACCGGCCAGAGCTACATCACTGCCCAGAACCACGGTTACGCCGTGGACGGCAAGACTCTGCCCAGCGACTGGGAGGAGCTCTTCGTGAACCTCAACGACGGTACCAACGAAGGTATCATCCACAAGTCTAAGCCCTACTTCACTGCGCAGTTCCATCCGGAACACGCTGGTGGCCCCACGGACACGGAATTCCTGTTCGACACGTTCCTTGACGCTGTTCGCAACAAGGAGAAGGGACCGATCAAGAGTTTGGTGCAGCGTCCCCACATTGAACGCCCGACGGTGAAGAAGGTGCTGGTGCTTGGCTCTGGTGGTCTCTCTATTGGCCAGGCCGGTGAATTCGACTACTCTGGCTCGCAGGCCATTAAGGCTCTGAAGGAGGAGAACATCGAGACGATCCTTATCAACCCCAACATTGCCTCTGTGCAGACCAACATTGACCGCTCGAGCGAAGCTCAGGCTAGCAACGTGTACTACCTCCCGGTGAACCCCGAGTTTGTGGAGCAGGTTATCAAGCGCGAGCGACCTGATGGTATCCTTATCTCGATGGGTGGCCAGACTGCGCTTAACTGCGGTGTGGAGCTCGACAAGCGTGGAGTGTTCAAGAAGTACGGCGTGCAGGTGCTGGGTACACAGATCGATGTGATCAACTACACTGAGGATCGTGAACTGTTCAACGACAAGCTGGCCGAGATTAACGAGAAGATTGCTCAGAGTGAAGCTGTGGAGTCTGTGGAGGACGCAGTCAAGGCAGCCTACCACATCGGATTCCCCGTGATGATCCGTTCTGCGTTCGCTCTTGGCGGTCTTGGCTCGGGTATCTGCGAGGACGAAGCTCAGCTGCGTAAGATGGCCAAGCAGGCCTTCTCGGGCAGTCCTCAGATCCTGGTGGAGCGCTCTATGAAGGGCTGGAAGGAAGTCGAGTACGAGGTGGTGCGTGATGCTGCCAACAACTGTCTGACGGTCTGCAACATGGAGAACTTCGATCCTCTGGGCATCCACACAGGCGAATCGATCGTTATTGCGCCTTCGCAGACGCTGTCTAACCGTGAATACCACATGCTGCGTGAGACTGCCGTCAAGGTCGTGCGTCATCTTGGTATTGTCGGTGAGTGTAACATCCAGTACGCATTGAACCCGGAGTCGGAGGAGTACTGTATTATCGAGGTGAATGCGCGTCTGTCGCGTTCGAGTGCTTTGGCCTCCAAGGCCACGGGCTACCCGTTAGCTTTCGTGGCTGCTAAGCTTGCTCTGGGCATTAACCTGCCGGACCTGAAGAACTCGGTGACCAAGAGCACGACGGCTTGCTTCGAACCGTCGCTGGACTACTGTGTTGCCAAGATGCCGCGCTGGGATCTGGCCAAGTTTGACAACGTCAGCACTGAGATCGGTTCGTCCATGAAGAGTGTCGGTGAGGTCATGTCGATCGCCCGTACCTTCGAGGAGGCAATTCAAAAGGCGTTGCGTATGGTGGAGCCTTCCAACGAAGGCTTCGAGCCGCGTTACGACGAGTTATCGCACGATGAGCTCGTGAAGGCGCTTGGTAAACCCACGGACCGTCGTATCTACCAGATCGCGCAGGCCTTGAAGACTGGCCAGCTGTCGATTGAGCAGGTACACGAGATCACCAAGATCGATACGTGGTTCCTCAGTCGTCTGCAGGCTATCTGCGATTGCGACGTGAACCTGACGGGTAAGAAGCTGAACGAGGTGACTGGTGAGGAGATCGTGGAGGCCAAGAAGCTCGGATTCTCCGACCGTCAGCTTGCTCGCATGTTCAGCTGCACGGACGACGGCGTGCGTGCTAAGCGCAAGGAGCTTGGCATCGTGCCGGCCGTCAAGCAGATTGATACGCTGGCTGCTGAGTACCCGGCTCAGACCAACTACCTGTACATGACGTACAACGGTACGGAGCACGATGTGGCGGCGCAGGATCCGAACGACGGTGTGATGGTGCTGGGTAGCGGTGCTTACCGTATTGGTAGCTCTGTCGAGTTCGATTGGTGCGCTGTGAGCTGCATCCGTACGCTGCGCAAGCTCGGCCACCGCGCTGTGATGCTCAACTACAACCCCGAGACGGTGAGCACGGACTACGATGAGTGTGACCAGTTGTACTTTGAGGAGCTGTCGAAGGAGCGTGTGATGGATGTCAACGACCGTGAAGGCGTGCAAGGTGTCGTGGTCTCCGTGGGCGGACAGATCCCGAACAACCTGGCACTGCCGCTGCACAAGGCTGGCGTGAAGGTTCTGGGCACGCACCCGACGATGATTGACAGCGCTGAGGATCGCTACAAATTCTCGAAGCTGATGGATGAAGCTGGTGTGCCTCAGCCTGCCTGGAAGGAGCTGACGAGCCACGCTGCTGCTCGTGAATTCGCAGAGCGCGTGGGATATCCCGTGTTGGTGCGCCCGTCGTACGTGCTGAGTGGTGCTGCCATGAACGTTGCCTACTCGTTCGACGAACTGGATAACGTGCTGAACCAGGCCGTTGCCGTGTCTGCTGACCACCCCGTTGTGATCACCAAGTTCGTGGAAGGTGCGAAGGAGCTGGAGCTTGATGCTGTGGCGAAGGATGGCAAGGTGATTGCTGCAGCCATCTCAGAGCACGTTGAGAACGCCGGTGTGCACAGTGGTGACGCCACTCTGGTCCTGCCGCCTGTGCAGGCCAGCTCGTTCTACACCAACCAGATCAAGCGTAACGCCGAGAAGATCGCCAAGGCGCTCAACATCTCGGGTCCGTTCAACGCGCAGTTCTTGGCCAAGGGTGCTGATGTGAGCGTGATTGAGTGCAACCTGCGTGCCTCGCGTTCGTTCCCGTTCGTGTCCAAGACGACGGGTGCCGACTTTATCAACGCCGCCACGAAGGTGATGGTGGGTCACTCGACGGAGAACGACAACCTGCCTCCTCTTGATGGCCCCAAGCGTCCGGAGGGCTACGTTGGCATCAAGTCGCCCATGTTCTCGTACACTCGTCTGGGTGGCGCTGACCCGCTGCTTGGCGTCGAGATGGCGTCGACCGGTGAGGTTGCGTGCTTCGGTAAGAACCGCCACGAAGCGTTTCTGAAGGCGCTGATCTCGTCCAACTTCAAGCTGCCGGAGAAGAACATCCTGCTGTCGATGCAGGACAAGTTCTCGGAGGAATTTGTGCACGCTGCGTACAAGATGCACGAGCTGGGCTACAACCTCTACACGACAGAGAAGACCCACGCGTATCTGAAGAAGTATGACATCCCGTCGACCAAGGTGGACTTCCCGTCGGATGGCGACAGCGAAAACAACGCGCTGAACCTGATCAAGGACGGCAAGATCGATCTGGTGGTGAACCTGCCCAACAACCAGAGCCAGCAGACGGAGAACAACTACCTGATCCGTCGTACGGCGGTGGACTTCTCCATCCCGTTGCTGACCAACATTAGTCTGGTGCAGCTCTTCGTGGAGGCCATGGCTATCCACAAGAACAAGCCCATGCTTGGCCTCGAGCCGGACAGTCTGTTCGACTACTACAAGCGCGAGAAAGAGGAAGACGCGTGGACGGACGTGCACGAGTTCCACTAAGCGCATTATCACAAAAAAAAAAAATAGCATGAAGTTCGCGTGGGGAAAGCAGTGTGCGAGCCTCATGCGTTGAGTATTCCGTGGAGTAGACTTAAGAAGCACAGTCATCAACACGACCATTGTTATCTAACACGTGTCTTCGTCTATCTTCTTTAAATCGTGCAGTAAGAAGCACTCGTTGTGCTCTTTGAACCAGTTCTCTAAGCCAAAAGTGAACAAGTCACGCGTATACGTTAGCTTCTCCTTTTCGGTCATAGTTTTCAGAGCTTCCATCTCTGACGAGCTCTTCTTCGTCTTAGCTGCAGTTTTGTACGTCAGGTCGAGGTATCGATCAGAAAATTTCTCGGTCAGTTGTGGCTCTTGTACCTGTAACTGCGTCTGGAAGTGAACGCAACGCGTATACGCTGCGATCACGTAGGCGTCGGCGATGTCGAATGCTGAGTCGGCCAGCGCTCCTGTACGCATCCGTTCAAAGCTCGGAAGTGCTTCGGACGTCTTCGTGTATTGACCTGCTGCCTGCGTGAGTTCAGGCTCCTGCTTTTCCAAGAAGCCCATGACCTGGTGCTTGACGCTGTTCTTCTTGCTCTTCGTCGTCGGTGCACTAAGACCGAAGAATCCACGAGCAGCCGATGGGTGGGTGTGCAATGGCAGCACATTAAAGCGCTTCCAACACGCGAAGGACACGATGCCGTTGAGCTGTGCTAGCTGGAAAATGCCGGCGTTGTGGAAGCGACCAGAGCGGAACATTCGCATGAACGCTTCGATGCCCACGACCCATTGAGCGTCGGGTTGTTGTTCCAGCTCGGCGGCGTGGACGTTGGCTAGGAACTCATCGACGGCACCACCGATTTGCATGACGTCGGCGCTGGAGAATTGGGCAGTGGGGATGTGGCCCCAGCGACACACGCGCCCACGTTCCGTCACGACGGCGAATCCTGTGCTGTTGGTGTTGACGTCCAGGCCGAGCACACGCAGAGGCGACGAACGACGCACCAGCCGTTGCGCATACTCGGCAAGGTCACACACTTCGAGAGCCTTGCGGATACGCGCCCCATTGCGGCGCAGAGTTGTCGAGGGCGTTGATTTGCCTGCCATTATTGTCAATTCACTTTTCGAGACGATTAGGTAAAGTTACTGGGTAAGTTTCGATTGGCATGTTTACTAAACTATCGTACTTTGTATCGCGGTGGTACAGTAATATTTCATCGCGAAGGCCAATAAGCTATCTCTACTTATGTTTTCGAACCAAGACGACCCCACTTCGATACTATCTCTTTGTAGTCGCTGGAGACATTCTTCGCAGACCAGCAGGTCGTTGTCTGCCTCGCCATTTTCCAGCTACGCTTGGGCTGAAGTATGCTGACATGAAGCGATACGCGGGTATGCCTGCAGACAACGACTCACGCTCCCGCTGGTCCTTGATGCCGACCTCCAGACACTCTCTGCAGGTCACCGACTTCAACGTGCACCAGATCTCTACCTCCTACGTCTCTGCGCCCATGATCGTGCAGGGTGGAAGGACTTAACAGAGGCGCTAATTGCACACACACACCGCTTAACGGACTCTGGCCGAGAGATGAGAGAACCGTAGAGTACGAGAGATAACCCGACGCATGCGGAAGTTGACCCACTACGGTGGCGAGACGGCTCGCGAAACGCGTTTACAATACAATACTTATGTTTTCCTCGCCCGACCTTCGCCCTCCACTCCTACAAGCTTTCGGTTTTCAATAGAAAATGGTGAATGAACAAGGACGGAAACAGACTTTTATTTTTTTTACTTTAACTAAAGATTCTCTCTATCTTTTGTCTCGCTATCGTTCATCTTATCTTTCTCCGTGGATGCGCTCTTCTCCTTCGTCACCGACGCTTTCGGTTCTCCTACTGGTGTTTCCTTCATAGAAGTGTCTTGTAGCGCTGCTGCCGTTGACGCCACCTCACTCTCAAACATCCGACTCCGACTGTAATTGCCCTTCACCTTCATCTTCTGTGCCTCACCAAATGGAGTCTGCTGCCATAGTGCCTCAAACTCCTCTGGACTGCCACTTGAGCAGATCGATTCATGCTGACCCTCGTCCTCCTTATTCTGGCGGTTCCAAGTCGTGCGCATCTTCTTACCGTCGATCTCCCGTTCTTGCACGGCTTTCAGTCGGCCAGTTGAGTCTTCATAGCGACGGCGGTCGGTCCGGTCAAGTCGAGTTGAAGTGAGATTTTGGGTGGAATAGTGTCGAGTGAGGCACTTCAACTTGTCCCTTACAAATTTCATATATTCCTCATTTCTAGAAAGGGTTCGAACTTTGGAGAAAACGAACGCAGTAAAAATAAAGAATGAGTACTAATATCTCGATGCTTCTTAAGAATATCGCAACGGGATGCTAAGGTAAACAGTACTTTGGAAGGACTTGCTTCTAGCAACAGTCAGGACATCGGCGTTTCCGTAGGACTCAAATGCTTCTTATTCTCGTCTACAGTTCTCACCGCACTGGATGAGGCTACACTTACGAAAAGGTCGCGTGAAGGTTGCTCGATCGCTTTGACCAAATGTGTGCGCCACACCACTTTCTCAAATTTTTGCACCGCAACATTGGTGTCCACGTTGCTCGCCCATCCACAAAGTGTGACATCGGCACCCATAATGACGCCGAGCGATCAATGATTGCCGATCACTCGCAACTGGTGGTTGATAGGTGCCGAGCTTGATAGGGGAAATCCAGCTACATGCATCGCTCGGAGCGATACAGCGATTCGCTCCGGTGCGGTGCACAGCGATGGCGTTTGCAAGGTTGTGCCAGCGTCAAAGCTCAACAAAACGGCCTCAACTCTCAAAAGCTCCTTTTCGCTCGATCGTCAGCGGCACGCAATATCTGAGTGTAGGGCAGCGACGTGCAGGAAGGCTCTCCTCAAACCTTTTTGACTTGATTCCAGTATGCGAAAAAACTGGCGACTTTTTTCTGCCCCATTCACTAAACGACCGTTGCCTAGTCGAACTCTCATTCTCTCTCTACCTCGGCAAGTCACAGACGACGGTGAGAAAGCTCCACTCGTTCCCTGCGTGCGGCACTTATCGGCGCGAGGAAGAGTACACTACAGTAACTAACCAAAAGCAGGCATGAACGTGAGACTGCTTGCGCTACTGGGCGCGGCACTGGCGGCGCACACGGCGTCGGCCGTCACCACGTGCCCGGTGTCCGTGCAGAGCAAGACAACTTCGACGCTCACACACCCCATCACCAAGGTGGTGTCGTCCACCTCCAGCGGCAGCGGTAGCGAGGCCACATCCTCGTCCTCTGGATCGGGAACCAACTTCTCGGACGCGGGCAGCCAAGGCTCACAGAACGCAGACGTTGGTAGCAGCTCCTCAGGCTCATCTACTTCCACGACTGCCGGCTCTAGCGGCGGCACTTCCACCGGCACCGGCACCACCACAGGCAGCGATGATTCTACTGGCAGTGCTGGCGTCCCCACGACGACTACGACGCCCTCATCTACCACTAAGACCCCGTCGACCACCACAGCCTCGCCGTCCACCACGACGACTCCTAGTACCACCACCGGAAGTGCGTCTACTACTACAACGACGGGATCGGCGACGACTGCTCCCTCTACGGATACTACGGCGACGGTCTCGACGTCTTCGGGATCGTCCGGCACTGCGGCAGGCACCACCGCTTCCTTATCGCTTGGTGTGCGTAAGCTGCAGGCCACTACAACTACAACTACCGGCACTACAGGCTCGACCACAGGTACGACCGGAACGACCGGCACGACAGCCACAACCGGCACGACAGCCACAACCGGCACGACTGGAACGACGTCGACTACCGGAACGACTACCGGCACTACCGGCACTACCGGCACTACCGGCACTACCGGCACTTCGTCGACGACCGGAACGACTTCGACGACCGGAACGACTTCGACGACTACTACGACAGCAGGTTCTAGCTCGACAACTGGTACGGTGGGCTCTAGCTCCTCGGAATCGGACGTGCTGACTTGCGACAGCACCTTCTACTCCCAGTGGGACACCCTCGGCCTGACGTGTGGTGGCTCCGGCATTGACGTGGACTCGGCCGTTTCGGCCTCTAGCTGCGTGATTTACAGCGGCTCCGTGGGCTCTACTTCAGGTTCCACGTGTGTTTCTATCTGCTCATTTCCAGCTTGCACGAACAACGCGTGGGTCTACGGCGCTGACAACGGCATCTCGTCGTCAGTTTACGATGGTTTGAGCATTGAGTCGTTCCTAACCAGCGACATCATCGCAGCGTTGGAGGAACGTTCGTCCACTGTCTCCTCGTTCCTATCGAACTCGACCATGTCGAACTCGGAGCAGTGCACGTACTCTTCGGAGTCCTCGTTCTCCTCGTGCACGTGCTCGGCTATGCTGGTAGACATAGACAGCTCGGGAAGTGTAGCCGACGCGGCCAAGAAGCAACAGCGCGCACAGGATGAGGCCGATGGTGTTATTACCAAGGATAACACGACTACGACTGGCTCGGTGGTGGCTGCCACATCAAAGAGCGTTGCTGGTGTGACTGTTGCTGTTACTGGTATCGCTGCTATTGCCAGTACCGCTGTGGGTGGCGTCAGCTCTGCCGGTGCTTCGCTGGCAGCTGCAGGCTCTACGATGGCCATTACGACGGTCGAGATCTGCCAGTTCGGTGTGCTAGTTAACCAGCTGCAGCTTGACGGCAAGTCATCGGCTCTGGCACAGTTCGGTAAGGCAATGGCCCCCGCGGCGTTCACGTTCCTACCCTTCGGCAAGCTCGACGATTCTGAGTCGGACGGTAGCAGTTCAGGCAGCGGCAGTGAGTCTAGCAGTGGCAGTGTCTCCGGTCGTCGTCTGGAGGGCTCAAGCGCAAGTGGCAGTGGCAGCTCCAGCAGCACAAGTCAACTCACTGGCATTGAGAGATACTCTCGCCAGCTGAACATCAAGGAAGACATGCTGTTCATTGTGACGCTGGCTGGTGTGTTCTGTGTGATGGCGTCCGTGGTGGGTCTATTTGGTATCGGCTACCTGCTCTCCGGTCTTATGATGCCTCGTGAGGAATACCTGACCAAGTTCTTCGACAAGATGATCGGTCTTGAGGTGCTTGTGGCTATCTTGTCTCAGTATACTATCGGTGTGACGGCCACGTTCCAAATCTACTACTCGACCAAGTACGAGAGTATCACTGACCCCAAGTGTCTACTGGCTATCGCTGCTATTCTGTTCTTGGCTGCTGGTATTCTCGTGTATGGCTACATTGTCATCAAGAAGCACGAGGCTGAGATCACGGATGTGGGTACAGTGCAGCATCTGAAGAAGACCGTCAACATGCGTTATGGTCCTCTGTACGAAGAGTACAAGTTCAAGAACCGCTACTTCTTCGCCGCCAAGATGATGCTTGCACTGACAACCGGTGTGATCACTGGCTGTGCTAGCATGTCCGGTAAAGTGCAGGTGTCGCTTATCCTTGCGTTGAACGTGCTGTTCTTCTTCTACCTGGAGATCCAGTCGCCCCACCATTCCAAGTTCGTGCAGACCACCACGAGTTTCGTGTCCATCATGAAGATCGCTGTGCTCGTGCTGACGTTCTTCCTGATCACTGCCGCTACCAGTGACGGCTTCCCCACCAGTCTGCAGAACGGCATCTCGGTGGCCATTGTGGGTCTTAATCTGTTCGTGTTGGCTCTGCTCATGATCCGATCGCTGTACACGTTTTGGCAGAAGATGAAGCTGCAACGCGACGCTGCGTACGACCAGGAGGAGCAGACTGCGCAGGATTACTTTAAGGACGAGACCCCCGCTGGAGCACGCAAAGATCGTGCCCCCAGCAACCCCCAGATCCCGTCAGGCCAGCCTGTTCTCCAGTCTCAATACTCGAACGTCAACACGAACAACAACAGCCCGTACGTCCAGGGTAACGCCACCGTGGACTACAATAGCGCTGACGAGATCCGCTTGCGTTCGGCGACACACGAGAAGGACGATCGCCAGCAGACTTACGATGCCAGTCGTACTTCGGCTGCCAACCACTACATCACTCAGGACCGTAACACGTATGGCCAGCGTCGCAATGATGTTGTGGAGCTGTAGGCACTTTTGTGTGAAAAAGTTGCACCATATCGGTGTCGTAGATGAGGAATCGCTCATCCAGTGCGTCGCGGCTATCGGACTCAGCTTGTAATTAAGAGAAGGTTAGCATTTTGATTTCATTTTGACACAAAGCTAATGGAGTTCTGCCTTTCCATCATTTGATAAAGTGCTTGACAAACTGGATTTGATTACAACTCGGACTTGTCTTCTCGATTATGACGCGTCTCATTTCGGCTTTCTCCTCAGTGTCTAAGAAGCGATAGAGTATGACAGGGGGATCTCTGTTAACGCAGGGGCTCGAGACTCTGGGCAAGTCAAAGGCTATCCGTAACAAATTGAGTGAATTGTATGCACGGGACGATGAGCTACAAGCGGCGCACCAAAAGGCCAAGCGCGACGACGACTTTGGCGAAGAAGTGGTGGCCAAGTACAAGGCCTTCCTGTCTTGCCGTCAGCAACTGATTGAAGAGTTGGAGAAGCAGAAGATTCAAGTGCCGTGGCAGCTACGCATGACCATTGACGACCTCGAGCTGACGGTGAGGGTGGCGTACGTGATCACAAAGGGGCTTACGCTTTGTTGACCACTGTTCTTTCTACCTGTTGCGTGTTACAGCTGAAGCAACGTCGTGAGAAGGAGGAGGGGAAGACCACCACCGGTCTGAAGACCAAGGAGAAGGAGAGTGGCACGAAGCTTCCCAAGCAGAACCAACTGCCAGCTGAAACAGCCCCAACTGCGCAGGCTGGACGAGTCACGGTGGCATTTCTTGGCCCTACGCTTATCGCACTTGTCATTGCCATGCTCTGGTACCACTACAACACCTAAATTCACCACTGTAGCCACACATAGGAGCGAGGAACGACGTGATCTCCACGTCCATATCCGCTGAGAAATCGAGTTAGTAACATTTTTCTGCAATTAATATCCGTTAAATGTTATTTACAGTTAACGTGCTCTAATTGGTTAGCACCCGTCGATGAGCACCATTGCACGCAACTTGCTGCGTCCTGGAGCTCCCTACTACAGGAACAAGCTGGCCATGTCGTCTTCAGTATCACTAGCAACAGATTCTCCAAGCTATGGCAACAATATCGGTGACTTGACGTCGTTAGGGCAACTCCAACAAGGATGTCAGGTGTTAGTGGTCGGAGATGGCAACTTTTCCTACTCGCGAGCGTTCCTGCGCGCCAACAGTGCTCGCATCGCTGCATCAGAAATTAACGTGACCGTCACATCACTTGACACTGAGAATCAATTGATGGAGATGTATCCAAAGTCTCACAGCATTCTGGACGAGCTGCACAATGGCGGAGTTCACGTCCGACACGGCGTAAATGCTACGAAACTAGAGACCTACTCATTTGGAGATGGAAACGGTGATGGACTCGTTAAATTCGACAGGATCGTGTTTAACTTCCCGCACTATGCAGCGGATGGAGGCGTGGGCAACAAGAACAAGCGCAACAAGATCCATCGCCACCGTCATCTGCTCGTTGACTTTTTCGCCAGTGCGAGTCAAGTACTGGCGAGTTACGGTCAGATTTGGGTGACACTGTGTGCTGGACAAGGAGGCACTAAGCTGGAGAGGAAGACCCGAGCAGTGGGCGATACGTGGCAGATCGTTCACAGCGCTGCTGCTGCAGGTTTGGTGCTTCAAGACGCGCATTTCTGCCCCGTAGATGCTCTGGCCGACTTGGGATACTACAGCGTCGGGTATCAATCACGAGAGAAGGCGTTCTGGACAGAGGACGGAATCTCGCACGTGTTCTGCCACGAATCTGTAGGTCGCAAGTCCTGCTTCCCCATCGAGTGGACGCGTGACATCAGTTTCTGGGTCACGGACGAGGAAATATTCACTGAAGAGCTCTTGCACGACATCGTACGCAAGCATTTTTCTCCCGAGACTATGGATGTCTCGATCTCATTGCTGGACGAATATCGCTGCGAGAAGAGCGGATGCAAGTCGGTCACGTACCGTCTCGATATCTCTTCTTCCACTTTGGCTCTCTCTCGTGACCGCGTCAATACATTGGCACAAGCAGCACTCTCGGCCATCGAAAGCTCGAACTTCGGCGCTTCTCGGGCGACATGATAGAACTACATACAAAGAACCACTTTATTTCATTGTTACGGACTGACAGTTCTCTTCTGCCTAATAAAATTTCTCTTCTTCTCTCTCATCTTTAAATCCCACGATACAGCAGCACGTTGGCTGCATTGCCCAGTAAGTGCAGACCGCAGTGCCAGGCAGACGACACGTTCTCGTTGGGCGCCTTGCGTGCCTGCATATAGCAGTAGCCCGAGTTGGCCACCACTAGCGCGTACATCACCTGCACCAACGGATCCTGGCACACAGCCACGCAACAGTAGGCGTGGTAGATCGCAGCGCCGATGACTGCCGTCATGTCGGCCGTACGGCGCCAGCCCTTGATCGGATTGCGCCAATAGTTAAGCGACGTGAGAAGCACCACGAGTGCGACGAAAGCGCAGCCCCAAAGCTCGCAGCGCACAGCGCCGATCACTGAGAAGCACGTAGCGAACGAAGATCGGAACAGCCGCGACGAATAACGCGGCGGCAGCACGGGCGCCGAGGTTGAAGCCGACAGCTTGCTGGTCATGATGGACGAACTTGGTGCCTCTGACATTTTCTCTTTGCCAAATGTGGATTGTCGTGATCAGATGCAGCCGAGAGATGGATACAGTGTGAGAAAACCGACGCTGACTGGAGTCATGGATGGTTTTAGACACCAACCTCCGGGGTGACGAATGCCACCGACCAAGCAGCAACGCCAGCTTGTCAAGGATAAATGAGAGACAGCAGGGCGGTGTTGAGCAGGTTTCCATTCGAATGCAAGCTTGCGGCGCAGCGACTGTCGAAATTGTTAGGGTAGACCATTGTGAGCTTGTGAGCATCAAACACGAAGAAGACCATCTATTATAAATGCAGTCGATAGTAGTTGCCGCCAGTGCAAATGCACTGAGCTTCCGAGGGATCTTGCCAGTCTCGTAAGCGTAAATGTTGCTCTACTACATCCAGTACATTCGGATTCTCCAAAGCAAGTGGCGATGATTCTAGTTGTGAGTGTTGTCGAGTGGAAGCTATGGTACTCCTGTATCAACGATAAACAGCCTCATGTTTTACTAGTACGCTGCAGATGAACGCTTCAGTGGTGCACTGAGACGACCTCGTTGTTCAAGAAGTGTCGACTCTTGTCTTTTTCTAGATGCTGTGTACTTGTAGAACGGTATGATGATTTGTAAGGAACATGTTGAACCCCGAATTCTATTCTTTTCTGGAAACATGTCGATTCGAATTTATGTCGATTCGAATTTATGAAAATTTGTATGGGACAAGTTGAAGTGCCTCATTCGACAACATTCCTTTGACTTGACTGCCACCTGGTACAACACCGAAGCAACTGATCCTCTCGCACGACCATTATTAAATTTGCAACGAACAAAGCAAGTAAACAAACAGCTAAGCAACCACCCAAACACACTCTCTCAACCATGTTCAGCTCGTGGGATCTCGTGCGACCTCGCTTCTGGTACCCTATGTCCTCGACCTAATGAGGACCACGGTCATCCTTTATACGGGGCCTACACGATGGATGCCCTTCAAAAGGAGAACCAGTGAAAAACAACAAAAAAAGTCTATGAACAGTACGCAAAGATGGGTTAAAATCCACAGTAATGTAGAACAAACACACAATGGATGTGTTTATCGCATAAAGGTGCCTGACTTTTCCACAAAAAAACGGAACAGTCCATCAAACATAGGATTTCACCAAAACCGATTATTAGCCAACCTTCGCTGCCGGTGTTGACCTATCACAATCTACGGCGCCACGTGCAGTAGAGTGAATCTCAGATATAATCTCGCGGCGGCCACAGACGACAAGCGCCAAGCTAGCCCAGGATCTCAATACGCGCCGCCCTACGGACAATCAAACCGTTGACCTAAGTAAACTAAATACTAACTTCGTATGAAAACCTCTGTAGTAAGTTTTGTTCTAACGCTGGATTTTGATGCTACGCAGGAGGAGGGGATGCCTCGTTCCCTCCAGTGGAGCGTGCTGCATAAGCATTTAGCATGTGAAGCTGCTGACGCTGTTATCGATCGTATGAGAGTCCAGAAGCCCCACAAAATTTACTCCAGCAACGTGGTCAGGTGCACCATTTGTTTGGACGATGATCCACACAATATGCGTTACCGTATTCTACAATGTGTGTCTTCAAACTGCGCGAAGGCTGGCGAAGGCGGCAGCAAGTGTCCCTGGCGTGCCAAGGTGCTATCCTGCCTCCACCGTAGTATTGTCGACATTTTTGAGATGGAACAGCATTTCGTACGAAGTACGGACCCTCCCAGTGGAAAGCTCAGCAAGAAAGATAACGCTACGCCCCGATCTTTGGCCGAAGCTTTTGTGAAGCCGGTGCGTATTCGCAACAAAATCGCCGACAAAAACGGAGGTGTGGCTCCTTCGCTAGACAAGCTTCAAAACTTTGTGTTCTATTACCGGAAGAGTAAGATGAACAACACGGACGACATGGACGAGTTGGAAAAATTGATCTGGGCGAACACATACACGGGAGGCGAAGCGGAAGAAGAACCTTTCTCCTTCTCTGTCAGAACCCGTCCAGATGGAAAGGTATTACTCGGTGAAGGAACGGACAATCACGAATTTTTTGTGGGCTATACAACTAAAGCACTATTGAGGCGACTAGACCGAGATCCGGTGACGTTTGTCTTTCACGTGGACGCCACTTTCAAGCTTAGCCAGGTGGATTACAATACGTTCGTGTGCGGTATTTCGGACAAATCTCGGGTCTTCCACCTTGTCGGCCTATTTGTCTCCTCTCAACGAACAGAATATCAATATTCCACCATGTTTGCTTCTCTCAAGAGCGTTTACTACAAGGTTGTGGAAAAGTCTCTTGTACTGCGCTACGTCATGGGAGACGCTGATGAGGCCCAGTTCAACGCTGTCGTGGACAGCTTTGACGATGGCAATGTGGAGTACTTGATGTGCTTCTGGCATATGATCACGAAGCTGTACGAACACGGTAAAATGATGACGCCGGCAAAATTAGCATTGGTTGCCGCTGATGTATACGACATGCCCTATGCTGTATCGGAATCGCAGTTTCACGCTTTAAAGACTATGACTGTGCGACGTTGGATGGCAGACCCCGATGTTGCCGAATTTGGTCGCTACTTTTACCGTCAGTGGTTGACAGACAGCTTTACGAAGTGGCAGTGCTATCGTACGCCATCGGCGTTTGCTACAACAAATAACCCTGTCGAAACGTTCAATGCTATTCTCAAGAAGGTGTATACGCTCAGAATGCGCATGAAAATGGGTTTACTGCTCTCGCAGTTTGCTCGTTGCTGCAAGCACGAGAGCTTCTTTGGCGCCAAATTTGCTGAGGTAGCAAAATCTACAGCCAAACTGCGGCGGCGGGCAATAGAGTTGCGGAGAATGAAACTTATCGAGGAGATGACCGCGCTACCCGGGTCGAATGGAGAACCCGACGAGTCAGACTACGTGCTTGTGTGTGTGCATCCAACACCGCGCATTT